AAAGATTCCCTGAACTGAAGCATTTGACAAAATAACTCAATTACTGAGGCAATGTTTGCTTTAGGCTATTTGAATAGACAAGATTTGTTTGTATTGTGTAGCGTTCAGAGTTGGATTGTTCCTCTGAGGACTATTTAAAAAAATCTAATATTATACAACTGATTGTTGGACATTACTCTGCTAGAGTTGTTGTCCTACACGTTTCAAACCAGAGCAAATTTATGACCAACTTTTTCAACAGATTGGACATAAATTTTATGATGGGCCATACATACTCTGTTAAGCAGTCTGAAAATTACAGCAGATGGGGTACGAAAAACCGCTTTAGATGCAGAAAAGTAAATGCTGTAATGTCAAAATGCTCTGGCCAAGTTTGACAGAATAAACCACTGTCTGCGATGGAGCCAGCGTGCAAAGTGAACTATTGCATTCAAACAACCTGTGCAGAGGCCATAAAGTGAGAAACTATTTAGGGACGGAGCAAAGGGACAAAGGATACACACTGATATATCCATACAGTGTATTTTACCTAAACAATATTTAATATTAAGGGTCCTGAGGATTAAAAAGTTTATAGTTAAAAATGTTCAGGTAGTACTGGCTCAGTTTGGTCTACACACTAATGCTTTCAACAAAACCAACATCACATATGTTTATTATTATTATTATTAATAATAATAAATTATATATACATAATTTTTATTATATTTTATGTTTATATAATGTCAAATCTCAAAAATGTTAAATCTTTATTTTAAAATTCTACATAGTATGCTTATACCATTTTTAATAAATATAAAGTATACATTGTTTCTATATATTATATAAAGTATATAATATTAAATTAGAAATGTAAAAATGTAAATGATTGAAAAATCAATTTGAAGATAATTAGGTATTTACATTTGCATTGTGCATTCATTTACAAATGCAGCTCTCTCTCTCTGTTATTTTTTATAAATTATATAAAATACAAATATAAAATATAAATAATGTATATTTAAAATACATTCTTTTTATTTTAGAATCCCATATGATATTTAATTATTTACATTTGTATTCACATGCACAAAAAATGTATGTATATATATATATATACATTTTATATAATTTTATTGTAATATTATTAAAAAATAAATAAAGGTTTAAATAAATTAATGATTATTCATCTCTATATAAGTATTAAGCCAAATCATATTCTGTAAAAACAACTGTTATATGAGGAACATTGTACGATCAGTCCTGTAGCTTATTCAGTGAGCTAGTACAGTATTATTGTAGGCTGTAATGAAGATTAATGGTAGTGTTCCAGGTGTAATGGAGGCACAGAGGAAACTGGCAACTAATTATGTTTTAATTACAATAACTGTAAGCATCGTGCCATCAGCACAATATCTGCCTCTTACAAGCATTTTTGCATTTTCATTTTGTCATCATCTATACAGTAAAATCATACTGATTAAAAGACAATATCTAGTTTCTCATGCTAATTTGTTTTGTCTAATATCTCGCTTAAACTGTGTGCCCCAGCACAGGAAGCACCAGGCTGAAAGTTGATATCCTGATATATCTAAATACCTGGTAGAGATGGCCGTGGGTTCTTCTGGAAACGTTTCTGTCCCTCTTGCCTGTAAAGGGCAGCTTGGCGTGAGTCTGCAGCACTTGGGCTGATTACTGAGCCACGTATGCCATGTGTCAGTGGGTCACAGATTGGACCAGTGCTTTACCACTCTGGCTCTCCCAGCATGCATCTCACAAGGGGTACGGACATCAAAAGGCCCCGTGTTGCACTCATGCTGGAGAGATGAGGAGGCTGTGCCTTTACCATCTGAACCGGGACACACGTTACAGACCAAAGATACAAGAAATCTGCTCCTGTTGATGGCAAAGGATGAGACAAAAGGAGAGCTGTAAAACTGAATTGCATTTGCGTAGTAGGTCGTTTAGGTTTTCTCACCCTAGACATGAGAAGTAACACATTTAATTGAGATAACAAATGAGAATGTGTTTGTCAATGGGGTGTTAAGCGTAGAATCCGGTCATTAAATCATTCCTGACCCTGCAAAAATACACACAGAAACAGCATTTTCTCCATAGGACGATAACTCTTCAATGCATAATGCTTGCTGCCAAAGATCTGAAGCATTCTAAGATGAGCCCACACATGAATTTGTTATTAAAGCTATTTTGGTATTGGAGAAATTAAATTAAAAAACATGTGCCAGACTATAGGAGCCCAGCCGCTCTCATTATCACATCAGGCTTTTCCTCTGCTTGTGGAAATGTCTAAACTTACACAACTCAGTCTCATTTTTCTGCTCTGCTGGATTCTGGTCTGTTAGCTTTTTAAAACAATATCTGAAGGATGATGTGACACTAAAGACTGGAGTAATGGCTGCTGAAAATTCAGCTTTGTTTCAGAATTTTGAAAAAAAGAAAACAATTCTTTTGAATTTTAATAGCATTTCACAATATTACCGTTTTTACTGTATTTTTATTAAATTAAATAAATGCAGCCTTGGTGAGCATTCAAAAACATTGAAAATGTAATGTTTACAGAGAGCTTTATAGTAAAATGTTTGGACACAACTGGACTGGATTTCTATTTTATAATCTTTAAAAAATGCATTTCAAGGATTTAAAATGCTTTAGAAGACCAATATAAATTCGGCCCACAAATGAATTTCTTTACAAAACCCCAAAAAATTAATAATTAAAATGGAGTTGGACAGAATCGTGACAGAGCCACAGCCAACAAGTGTCTAGCTTACCAGGCCAAATGCTTAAAAATCATCCCAAGATGCACCTTAGGGAGATGGATGATAGAAGCCCAGAGCTGTAATCTAGACAAAGGGTGTCTGCTTTGAATAAACTAAAACAGGTTTGATTTACTGAACATTTTAAAGTCACAGCATAATTCCCTTTCTTCCATTAGTTTCATTGCTTAGCTCTAGTTCATAATCACGCATATGTTTAGTATGATAATGACAACATAAACAATTTACTGTTAAAGTATGCTGAACTTGCCTCACTTTTGCATATGAATGAGATAAAAAAGACTGCCAGTAGGCAGATTCATTATAAGCCAGTTTAATTCACCAGCACCCAATAGTACAAGCCACGAGTAAAGCTCGAATGAAGTCTAAGAAATCATAACACTTCATCTTCAGCACAGTAATTACAATAATTAAATCATGAGTGTTGGGGTTAGACCTCATAGTATGACGTTTATACACATGAGCAGGGTAAATATTGCTAATGATGAAAGAATGTGTTTAGCACTCGCCTTTATTTTTATATTAAAAGTAAGAGTTTGATGTACTTTAGCAACAAGATTTATGTTCTTCAAGGAAAAATGAAAGAATTATGCATAAAAAACCTTTTCTGCGTTTTGTTCCCCAAATCCAAAGTCATGTTTAGTGACCTAGCAGCGACATGTGCTGTTGAGTCATGTTTTCATTCTTAATCATTTTTATGAAAAAGAAAGGTCAGATACAGGCATCAGACAGCTTTTAGCCTTTGGGCAATGTTTACTTCCAAGCCAAATCAAATGACATGAAGAAGATGCAGTGGCAAGACGAGGGATTTTTTTTTTAAATACATTTTTAAAAGTTCAAGGTCTGAACATGATGTCAAAAATCTAATAAAATTGTAAAATATTATCTAACAAACAACTGGTTACCCCCTGAAATAACTCAAACTATGATATAATATAATGTGACACGATCTTGACGAGTGAAATATGTGTTAGCGTCTTTTTAAGCTCTACTCTTGGAAGGAATATTTCACTGTTTAACACTTAACTCCCACATCATTCTCATACCTCATCACATTTGCATTTCACCTCCAAATAATGCTGTCTTCACAGTTTTTAATTGTGCCCATGGTAATAAATTACCTAGTTTCCATCCCGTTTCCCAGCCATGCTTTGAAAAATATATAAAGCTATACATGTTCAATCTTAAAAGTTCACTGTTGTGCAAGGCAGCATCTTAAAACACATGCTATGCCACTGCCCTGACCTAAATGGAAAGTCAACAAATCCATTGTGTCTATATCTTTCCAGTTTTTGCACATATTGAACTCTGTAGGCGGGTGTTAATTTCATCCTTCCTAAAACTGCCCCCATTGAGAGACTTAGATATATTTGAATATTATATTTTACACTCTTGTTACACAATTACTCTGAAATACAACTTTTAAGATGATAAAATCCCCATGTGAATCTGTAGATGTAGTCTAACTAGTGGGAACTGAAGGTCTATGCTGTACTCAATTGTAGTTGGTGTATGTATCAACAAATAAATGTGACTGAAAAATGTTGCACTGCTTGTTTTGATGTAAGCATTTAATAATCATTCATATGTGTACTGAACAAGATTCCAGTTTTTGACGGACAGCTGTTGTTCAGCACCATGGACAGTGTTGAGCTCTTCTCTTTCTTCCACTCTATTTTTGGATAGTTCAATACTATGGAAGTCAATGGCTAACAGCAACTGTTTGTTTACCAACATTCTTTAAAATATCTTCTTTTGTGTTCAACGGCAGAAAGAAATTCATACAGGTTTGGGACAACACTATGGGTTGAACTATCCCTTTAAATGATACCCTTCTTGAAAAATAAAACTTTGGAGTGCTATAAGAGTTTTTAAATACATTCCTTGTGTTTACGATATAGTATATTTACATTCAAGTAATATAAAAATGCAAGACATCATTGCTTGTCTATGCATTAAGCCAAACAACAATGATTAAAGAGAAATGGCTATTTTTTTGTACTTACTACGCTCATACTGAACATCAAAATTATAAGGGCTATACGAATTAATAAAATGACAAGCACATAACAAAACACATTTCGTGCAAAATATGCTCCTGAATGCAAAAATATCATTGACAATAACAAACCACTCTTTTCCAAAGCAATATGCAGACATCAATTAGTCCAAATATGGTCACTGTCCTACTTTCTTTTGAATCTCACAAATACTTAAATTCACACACACACATACATACAGTACATACAAACTTGTTACATTTATTCAGGTCCTAAGAATAAATAAAATAAGCTAATGCATTCCATGTTCTCTCTGCTACCTTTATTTTTGAAAGCAGATACGGAAATGTCTTTTTGTCTTCAGTCTGCGCCTTTTCAAATGGGTAATATTCAATTAGAGAGGGAAAACAAGAAAGCCAGAGAATGTGGAGTACTTCCACCCGCCCATGAGGTTCCCTCTCTCCAGTTTAAGATAGAGTCTGTCTTCACGCTCCAGGTGAAGCAGAACGCCGTTACTTGCTGCCTCTCGGGTCACATCTTGATCACCGGCAAATGCAGATATTATTGGGTATTCATTATGCATCAGATTGACCTAATGACACGGAAACACAAAATGTGATCAGATGCATTACAAGAAGCCAGATCATCCTTTACTCCATAAAACTAAATAGAATCTGCTTTTATGTTTTAGTATATATTTTTAATTACTAATAAGTAATAGTGACAAGAACCAGACGAGTTTAACTTTTAACTGTTGGTAACTAACACTTGTTAGATAGTCCTTATTCCAATATAGTGACTAGTATCGATTCATTTAGTATAATACATTACATACTAGAAAATAACAATTTGGTACTAGTCACTGTTCTAATAGTGAAAACTTACTATTCTGTTTTTACTGGTAAGAATGATTTTTCCAATTTAATTATATGGGGATCTGTGGTTTGCATATTCATATTCCCCTGTGACTAGTTAATGAATAACAATAGTTATTGACACCTTGAGTTACTGTCATAATTGGTATTTATTTCAGCTTTGAAAGTGGCTATTTAATGTATACAGTACATATTTATGAGATACAAATATCTATCCCAAATGGTATGGTAACATATCTCATCTCATTAGTTATCATTTCTTTATTTGTCATATGAAATGACTAGCCAGAATGATACTTTACAGTTTAATTAAAATCTTACTGGTAAGATTACAGTTGGAATACAAACGTATAATAAATAAATACTTATGTCTATTCAGTTATACTAAGAAACCTGGAACATATTGTAAATATTAAGTACAAGAATGAGTAGTAGTGTCAAATTTATTAGTAAAACTGAAAAGGTACCAGCAGTAATTACAATAAATAGTCAGAAATCTGCATTTATCAGTGTTTTTTTTTATAGTGTTATAATTCAATGGTAAAACCATTCAATTTAAGTTTCAGTTTGTTTGTAATTAGTTTCTGATAAAAACCCTGAATGTTAAATAGACTCACCTGAATTGTCTGTCGGTTGTAGACCTTCACAACGTGAAAGCTGAAGCTGTAAATGCCTCGCCGAGGAGCTTGAAATACACTCGCCTTAAGATCGAAATGATTTCCAATGTTCACTAGTACCTGCAAAAAGGTGTTTGTTCACTTAGTTAACGTATGTTTTGGAAACATGTTTTCGGGGGGAAAAATATTAAAGTCTACTTAACGCAGATATGCGTTGCCTAAATGTGAAAGCAGGGTCTGACCTGATCAAAGTAGATTGTCATGGACTTGTTACTCATTTCTGATGGTTCATGGTTAGTTCCTCTGACCGCAGAAAAAGCCACTTTAGCACCAGCAGCTCGGACAGATATCCCAAACGACGAGGTCACTCCACCTTCGGCTGACGGGTTCGAGTCACACACAACTAAACATTTTCCTTCCAAAACGACCGGTTCTGTGTCATTCTGTCCAAGGGAAAACGCAACGCCGAATCCCAAAAGAAGGGTGGAGGCCAGCACGGCCAAAGATCCCGGTTCCTTTGCTCTCAACATGACTGTGGAAGACCTCAGAGCAAAAAATACTACCGAGCACTCTTTGGAGATCAGTGAAGACGACAGCACCTCTCCCTCTCCCTCCCTCTCTCTCTCTCTCTCTCTCTTACTCCCCTCCTCCCCCCCCCTCCCCCCCCCCCCCCCCCCTCTCTCAATTCAATTCAATTCAAATGAGCTTTATTGGAATGACTGTGGAACAGCACAATGTTGCAAAAGCAATAAACAAAAGTTATACAGGCATATAGATAGTAAAAAAAAGAAAGAAAACTTATTCATGACCATATTGTACATATATTATCACATAACACACACCACACACACGCACACACACACACACACACACACACACACACACACACACACACACACACAAACAATAGTAAATACAAGGTCATTATTTACAGAGAGCATTGATAAAGAAAAGGGGGTTTAGCCTTTGTCCCTCATAATATTTCTCTATCGCTCTCTCTTTCTCTGCCGAGCACACGCCTTATTTGAAAACGGCCTGAATTTCGGCCTGAATTTCAATCTCAAGTTTCCATTGCGCAATAGTCTCTAATCAATGGCTAAAAGTTCAAAGGCAAAATTGATGTATCACAGCTAAACAATAAATAAAAAGATAAATAATTAGAATAAACGTAGCCTATTACTAATCAATGCTTTGACAACCAATGCTATTCACGAAATCTAAACTGTAGATGGATAAACTGTAACTTGAAGGGTTTATGCGTTGAATTGATATTCCAACAAACCCTATAGAACAGTTAAAAGCACTACTGTATTCAGGGCACTGTAGGTCTTATTATATTATCTTATAAACTTTAACAAGTCTGCTCAGCATTTATTGATGGAAAATGAATTTTAATGTAAATTGATATTCTGTAGAGGTCAATGGCTGTCCACTGGTGACATCCCATTGTTTGGTGTTAAGATGTTTCAGAAATTAATATGATGTGCTATTGCACCATCCAGTGGTTGTAAAAAGATATTAAAGCATTGTTACATGAAGAGACTTTAAAGTAGCAAAGTATTTAGCACTTCAATTTTGAATTCACACATGCAAAAATTGTTAATTAAATGCAAAATGCATAAAACTTAAGCGAATGACTATAGCAAAAGAGTTGATATATAACAAGTCCTTTGGCTTTTTCTTTTAGCAACATAAAGATTTTTGGTTAAATGTTATGAATGTATAATAGAATGTGCACAGCTGGCACAAAATGTCAACATATTTAAATATGTTTCAGAATTCAGACTTGTTCACACATAGCTTTGTAAAACTAAAATGTTTGAGCTGTCAGTGTAAAACTTTTTATGTGACAGATTTTGTGGAGTCACTATTTATAACAACTTTAAATCAGTTGAGTACCACCTTTGAGTGCTGTTTAAGTGTGATTATAGCTCATTCTAATGCAAATTTGCTGCAGATGTTTATATTAATCAAATGACACTTGACAACCACAAATGTATAGAATTTTTTTATACAAATATTTAATCAATATGTTTCTTTTGATGCGCTAATTGGATCATTGTCTTGCTGAAAGATGAGATTTAGCCGACTGAATCAGGTTCTCTTGCAGTATTTCCCTGTGTTATGCAGCATCCATTATTTCTTCTGTTTTAACAAGATGCTGATGGAAAGCAGCCCCACAGAGAATCTCAGTTTAGCAGAAGGCATTTGGGACCATATTAGTGTCTTATTTTTCTTTTTTTCCCCCCTCCACATTTCTGTGCTTCTAGTTTCTAGTTTAAACACAGTCTTGTTGTTAGGTGCATCTGCAGCAATACAGTGGAAAGAAACATAAAAGAAAAGTGGATTTTTTTGCAGGCTATCATTTGTCCAGATGCCACAGGACAGCATGTCTCTTCATGTCTTTCTCAGTTCTTAATAAACATAAACAATGAGCAGTTAAATTACATACAAAATCAGTCTAATTTTAAATGATCTGTGATTGGACTGTCTGAACAAGGTGAGCATATGAGAATGCACAAACCCACCAATTATTTTAATTTCAAACTTTTAAATTAAAAGTAATGGCCTTAAATGTTACTCAGAAATATCTTGCTATATCATATATTAAATATATAAATATTATTACAAATCTCGCGATAAAAAAGACCTTATTCAGGTATAAGCCATAATTTATAGCAAATGAAAACGAGGCTGTGTACTCAGTTCCAAGTTCACCAGGAAATTTCTGGAAATACATATTTCAGGTGAACGGGTATACATCAACAGTAGGCTACAACCTGAACTGACTGCCTATCCGTTACAGCCTTGTTTTAATTCTCAAAAAATGTCGTCTATCTTTACTGAGTGTAATCAATAAACTTTGTATTCTTTGATAGGCTACTAAATATAAAAAATGCGGTTTTTTTTGTATCGTCATACTTGGAACTCGACACAGCTCACACTTTGCACAATGTTTTCATTTTGCACGCATGACCCATGTTTTGAAGTAGGTTACACAAGGTAGTATAGCTACTTAAACATACTCAGTTAGCAAACCATGGGTTAACATCACCTGGACAAACTTCATCTGAGGCAGGGTATCGCATATAGATTATTCTGGCCAAATATGAATGAAGGGATCGTGTTAATCCACTCTTCGTGTCCGCAGGTCTTCTGTGCTCTGTGGCGGATTACGCAGATGTGTTCAGCCTGTTCCACAAGTCTTCAACTACACCGTGAGTTCGGGGAGTAGCGGCAACAATTTTTGCGATCCTTTAAGCAGCTTCTTCTAAAGACGGGCTGCTTTATACCGTAGTTATATTTTATCTCAATTTTATCCTTCGCCTCGCCACTTCCATTCGCATTTCATGGAATTCAAAGTTGAAACTCTTGGGGAGAATCATGGTGCCGCGGGTGAAACTGCTTGTTGGTGAGTAAATATAAAAAAACGCACATAAATATAATGTTTCATTTTATTGTTATGACCGAGTAACGTCTTGGGAACAATACATGCATGATTTCCTTTAAGTTTAAGCCATATTCGTATATTTAATGTGTTATTCTGTTTGCATGTTCACACGAAAACAAGTATCACTAAACCTAAAGTGGCAGTTAACATGTAAACATACACTTGTAATAGTGGTGATAACGTTGCAAAAGGCATAGATAGATTAAAAGCACTATTTAACAGTATATAAACAATATACAGTATATAAACAATGTACAGAGTATACTGTACATTGGAGTGGTATTTGAACATTTAAGAACTGTATAAACATTATTCTTGTCTCATTTTGCAGTTGTTGCAAGTCTTGTCAATCTGGGATTTTCTGGAGCACCAACAGCACCACCAAAGAGAGCTGTAGGTAATTATCTCTCATTTGCAATGACCTCTTAAGTAAGCAAGAAGGGCATTGTGATCTCATGCAAAAGTAGTTGATTTGATTGTAGATTGTTTTTTATATATCTTTTAATAAAGTAATGCTTTGTCTCTTCAGTTAAAAACAATTCAGGTGTGACGCCGACAGGGTTGTGTGGTGCTTGGATCAAAGAACCTGATGGAGGGCTTTTCACATCTCCTAACTATCCTGAAAAATATCCTCCTGACCGAGAATGCATATACATAATTGAAGGTTAGCAAGCTTCCATTTTGACCGTTTTTAATCAGTAACATCTGCATATCTAACTAGAGGTTTTAATTATGTCATAGCTTCTCCAAGGCAATGCATTGACCTGTATTTTGATGAAAAGTATGCCATTGAGCCATCGTGGGAGTGTAAGTTTGACCACATTGAACTCAGGGATGGCCCCTTCAGCTTTTCTCCTATTATCGGACGTTACTGTGGACAAGAGAGCCCGACCTATGTTAGGTCCAGCGGACGATACCTTTGGATAAAATTTGTGGCAGATAGTGAACTAGAAGCCACTGGATTTTCAGCTCGGTACAATTTCACCCAAGGTAAGAGTTGTGTTTTTGTCATCAGTATATGCATTTGTCTATCCACCAAGTATTTATCAGTTTCTTAATGCAAGTTTATGTAAAACCTCATGATCACGTCCAATATGCTTTGAGAATCTTGTACTTCAATAGAACAACATCTGACCGTCTGTAAAAAGAGTCACATGATCATTGTCACAAATTTACTTGATTAGTTACCTGGAAAATAGTGCAGAATCTGATTTCTTAATCATTTTACATCTTGTTTTAAAATGGTTTAAATGTTACAGGTTTAAATTCATTACAAATTGAATAGCAGATTTTGTGGTCTCAAACTTTTGGACACTGTATCTATTCTGAAACGAAACGTATATACAGTTATAATATTGGTTTTGTACTGGTGGTTTATTCCTCCGTGTTTTGGTAAATGCTGTGTTCTCTGCTCAGGTCAGATGGCCCTGCATTTGTAGTGCAGGCACACATGAAGCAGCTGAGTGGGGGAGGTTTGTGATGTCTCTGATCCCAGTTAATGAAAGCTTGTCTTCAGAGGAGCACACTCAGTCTGCCCCATGTCCTGAGCTCTGTCCTCCTAATTCAGCTTCTCCAAATCCTATTCCAAATCTATGGGATGGCCAAAAAAATTTGCTTTATGCAATACTGTTGGGTTGCAAAAGGTCATAATTCTTTTGTCAAGATATTTTTGAATCCATATTTCACATCATTCAATGAATAGCCAAAGTGAAAATGGAAGTGAGTGTTTTTTTGACTACTCGACTGAGGTTTGGGACAGATGTGATGTCTGTCTTGTCTAAAGTTGGCTGGTCTTCCTGATTATGTGATGTTTCTTAAATTCTGATTACACCAGTGTTCATTACAGCTGCCTAATATACACTGAACAGCAGTGCTAATCTCTTTAGATTTTGGTAATGAAGCCGGGTCATAGGAGGAGAGGACCAGCAATCACATTTTTGTCCTGAGCCCCTGTTGAAATTGATCGACAAGCCTGTAATTTAAAGAAGCATAAAAAATACATGCATCATCCATCAGCAAAGATATGACATCTACAAGCTGTGGAAACCCAACCAAAATTGCTATTTATTTACTTAATTTTTTAAACAAAAACTAACATTTTTCAAATCTTACCAAATGTACTTTTGTAACGACTAAGAGATGTATGAATGGTTATATTACCAAAAATATATATAATAATAATCAATGAAAATAAATGATCAATTTTTTTTTACTGTAAAATATCATTCTGCACATCATAAATCAGAGATTTATTAGAGACCTACATCCATGCGTCCGGTTACATCAGCATAAAGAATAATCTTAGCCAAGCTGTACCAGAGGTAAGAAAACACGAGAGGATTACTGTGAATCCCTGAATGATTTTTCACCAAAACTCTAAAGGACTCTGAAATATCCTGGTGAATTTTTTGGAAATGATATTAGATCTAGATAGACATGATAAAGAAAGGCTATTACCTGTTTAAACTTGAAATACTGTACATAAATAAAATTAATTCAAACAGGCTCCGATAAACACACCTACATCTTGTTACTTTGCTTCCTGTCACACTGGGCAGCCTAATCTGTGTGAGGCTGGTGCAGGGATTATTTAATCCACGTACAATCATGACTCAAGCCTCAGGACATCATTCTCATTCCCTAATCCTATGTGTTTCAGTTATTATGGTAAAAGAAAATAAATGATTATGCTGGGACAGAAGTTCCTCAAGGTCAGGGAGAGAAGTCAACCATGTGCTTTATTTTTCTGTGTTTGTCTTTCAAACCATCAGTCAAATAAAATTCCATCTGTTTTTAAATATTTCCTATGTTCTTAGGAAGAAATAATGCAGTCTATACACTACTGTTCAGAGGTTTGGGGTCAGTAATAGATTTTAATGTTTATAAAAAGAAGTCTCTCCAAGGCTGCATTTATTACAAAAATACTGTACATATTATGAGTACAAATTAAAACTATAATTTATTCCTGTAATGGCACAGCTGAATTTTCAACAGTGATTACTCTAGGCTTCAGTGACACACGATCCCTCAGAAATCATTCTAATATGCTAATTTGGTGCTCGACTTTAACATTTCTTATTATTATCAATGCTGAAAACAGTTGTGCTGCTTAATACATTTGTAGAAACCATGATCCATTTTCAGGATTCTTTGATGAATAGAAAGTTCAAAAGAACAGCATTTATTTGATTTTTTTTATTTATTTTTTTGCATTACAAATGTCTCTACTGTCACGTTTGATCAATTTAAAGTGTCCTTCCTGAATAAAAGTCTTACTGACTCCAAACATTTGGACAGTAGTGTAAATGCACTGTTTTATACTGTATGCTGGTGTCCTTACTGGCATGACTTACTTTTCTAAACCAACTTCCGATCATTTGATCATTTTGGATAACCAGTGTTTTTGCTGGTAAACAGCATGGCATAAACCAGCCTTTAAATTCACTCTGATCTGTCTTTTCAATGGCAAGAAGCCACCCCTTTTGATATTTAGGACAATTTTTATGTCGCTTATGTGAATATGAAATCACTTGTGAGTTTGTAGGTTACGTGACCTTGTAAACTAAACAGATTAAGGCCTTATAAAAATCCTTAATCACTCACTCTCCTCTGCCTGCTTTGCAGATCCTGATTTCAAAGACCTTGGAGTTCAACAACCTCTTCCTAGTGAGTGAAGTGTTTTTTTTATTTAATTGATCTCCTCTGCATAATAAAACCACTTCACAATGATACATGACTGTGCTTTCATGTTGTAGTTTGTGAATTTGAGATGAGCGGGCCAGAGGGAATTGTGGAGTCCGTAATGGTTACCAAAGAGGGCAAAGCATTGCAGACAGAGGCTGTAGACTGCAGGTGGTTCATAAGAGCTCCTCCTGGCTCGAAGGTAAAACTCTAACTTTACTTAATGAAATTAAAGCCCAGCATGGTGGCCTAGGGCTGATCTTGTTACTCTCCACTATGTAAGGACCTAAATCATAAAAAATAAATTAAAATATAAAATGATCTCCTAAGAACATTGATATAAATGTGCCTCTTCTTATAGATCTATTTGCGTTTCCTGGATTATGAGATGCAGAACTCAAACGAGTGCAAGCGTAACTTTGTGGCAGTGTATGATGGGAGCAGCTCAGTGCAACACCTGAAGAATAAATTCTGCAGCACGGTGGCCAATGACGTGATGCTGCTGACTTCATTAGGTGTGATTCGCATGTGGGCCGATGAGACCAGCCGCAGGAGCCGATTCCGTATCCTCTTTACCACCTTCCATGAGCGTGAGTCATTCAGTCTTTTTTTTTCAATCTTAACACATTTCAGTAGCACATATAGATTTCTTTCTAGCCTTAAAGTCGTGATTAACCTCTTATTTTAACTCCATATTTGGACTAACACATTATTATATGTACTGAGTCACTTCAGCAATTTTAGTGTCTCTTGTGGTTTCTTCTATAATTATTATCATTTTGCTCTGCTCTTCAGCTCCATGTGAAGGAGATGCTTTCTTCTGTCATAGCAACATGTGCATTAACCACACTTTGGTGTGCAATGGTATTCAAAACTGCGTCTATCCTTGGGATGAGAATGGTTGCAAAGGTATATAATCACATATTCAAAAGTAATACATTAATAATTCACTTACGTTGAGCACATTAAAGGGATATTCTACCCAAAAAATAAAAATGATGTCATCATCTCATGCCTTTCCAAACCTGTATGACTTTCGTGAATTTTGTGGAACACAAAAGAAAATATTTTGAGGAAGGAACAAAAGAAAATATTTTTTTCATATAACGAAAGTCAATTGGGATCCATTGGATGGACAAAAAACACATATTTTCAAAATATCTTTTGTGTGTGTGTGTGTGTGTGTATGTTGTTTTGATCTGTATTTGGATACCTGCTATCTTTCCAAATTGCTGAAATATCAGCCATTGGTTGAAGCCATCCATCAACTTGACTATCATTGTAAGTTAATTACCCTAGTATTTGGAAGTTTAGGTCATGTGCACAAGAATGTGATTAAAGGACTGCAGTTGAGTGGATTGCAAAAAAAGAAAGCAAAAAAACTCGCAAAATTTTGTTCAGTTTCAGCCACTATAGGGAGTATGCAAATATGGTAACAAAGATGTTTTGTCTATCCTTGAGTGTTGAATGTTAGCCATGTGTACCTGTCATCTTGCAAACTGACTTCCCAAGGTATTTGGATTCAGTTTTTGTTGCTTGTCTTGTGGATCCAAATAAAAGAATATAAAATGTGTGTGTGTGTGTGTGTGTGTGTGTGTCTGTTCCACAGAAGAAAGAAAGTCACACAGGTAAATTATGAGAGCATTTACATTTTCGAGTAAACAACACTTCATGTTTTTGGGAAAGCAATACTTTTTTGAGAAATCAATCATTTTTATTCAGCAAGGACACATTCAAATCATTGATCAAAAGTAACAGTAAAGACATGTTTAATAATACAAAAGATAAATTTTCTTAAATGTATAATGGTTCCTACAAAAATATTAGAATACTATATTAGAAGGATTTCTGTAGGATCATGGTATATGGAAGACTGGAGAAAATTCAGCTTTCACTGCATCAAATTAAATTACATTAGAAATTTTTTTCAAATAGAAAACAGTTATTTTAAGTAATAATATTTCACAACATTTACTGTATTTTTGATCAAATAAATGCAGCCTTGGTAAGCACAAGAGCCTCTTTCTTTCAAAACCATAAAAAAACTTACCAACCCAAAACATTTTTACTGTAGTAAATATATATATATTTTTTTTTCCTAAATTTAAAACAATGTGCCTCATACAATATTTATGCTCCTTTCATACAGAGAAAAGAAAAGCCAATATCCTCGACGGTCTCGACAACACTAATGTGACCATTATTGGCGTGACCTGCGGATTGGTGATTATCCTGCTCACCGTGTCGATAATCATTCAAATAAAACAGCCACGGAAGAAGTACATAATCCGCAGAGATGAATTTGATCCCACCTTGCTGCACGAGGCCTTTGAACCCCCACACTATGAGCTGTGCACGTTACGGCAAGCAACCTCATCCGATGGTGAGGTTTTACCTGAAGACTTCCCCAAACTGCAGCGCACCTCCTCCAAATGCATCCACGGCCACCACTGTGGCTCCCAGGTGTCCAGCGCTCGAGGCAGCCGCAGCGATCTCAGCCTGCGAGATGCTGCAGCTATTCTCTCAGAGATGGAGCCATCTGCACAACCCCCCTTCCCTATGCAAGCCACCCCTACTAGCCGTAGGAATATTCTAGTGATGAAGCACAGCTACTCGCACGATGGGGCTGAAGAGTGCGACCTGGATGATGAACTTTATGATGCGCCCACCACCAGCCGTGGGCGAGCTGCAATGGACAGAACTGTGCATCGGTCAGTATCCAATGACTTTTGATGGTTTTCCATGCACGTCAACCCAGCTTTTGGATAGACTGTTTCTTTATTGTCCTATTTGTCTTCCTTTTTATTTGTAGTAGTCATGCACTTGTTTATTAAGTTTGTTGACAGACAAGATTTCCTTGTCTAGTCACTCCATTTTCACCATTTTGTATCCATAAAGGATTATGGATCAAAAAACATAATGAGACATAATGTGAACCATAAAACTGTATTGTTGTTAGTTTTCTTTTCCTGTTTTGAATATGACTAGTCCTAGGCTGCCTAGTCCATATAATTTGATGACTGTTATGCACTTTTGTTTTAATCCTAATCTTGAGGTGCTGTATGATATTAGGACACTCAATCATTGCATATGTTTAATGTAAATATTTTGATTTGTGCTGTTTGGTGTGGGTATTATTTAAAACATTTCATATCATTACTGCTATAGCTATTTTCATCTTTGTGTCTTGTGATGTGGGACAGGCTTCGCTCTTACCTTGAGCTGTGTGGTTTAATTTAATTGTGTTTTGATTGTGACTTAATTTATTTGTATTTTCATTGCTTTTATGCCTATGCGAGAACATTTGTGCTTCTTTTATACTTTGTTACCCTTCATGCTCCACTTTTCATTCTCATATCACACTACTGCTAAAATTACAAACAAGTACGATTGTTATACTGTGTCTCATCTTATTGCATTTTTATTATAAAATGTGATCTAGAACAAAAATGTCTTTAAAAAGTGCCTTTCCATTGGATGCATCCTCTTTCCTTGCATATTGGTAACATTTTAAAGTGGTTGTAGGCATGCGAACACTTCTAATATTGCCAGCCTCGTCATAATAATATTTAAATACTATAAAAGTACCGTTTTCATTACAATTGTCATTTTAAGTTGAAAAACAGCAGCAGCCAGCCAGAGATGCGTAATGAGCGCACACATTGGGGTTTGTGAGTACATCCGCATAATAGTGCCTCCCTCTGGTATATCAAAGTAATTGCAGGAGATAAACTTTGATCACTATTTAAAAATGACAGTATAAAAGTACTGTTAATGAACAGGCTATAAATCTTGAACCCACCAATCGTTAGGTTTCTTCAAGTCATTTTTATTATCTCATGAATTAATCATATTTGTGTGTCCGTCTGTAGTAAGTGACAGTCAGAGAGCGGAACGGATGTTGCTTCTGTCTGTCGTCGGACAATTAAGGAGATGCACCGATTCTCATGTTTTCGTCTCGTGAAAAGTTCTGTGGTTGTTTATAATATATATATATAGACAGTATAAGTGTCTGTATGTTGCTCATTACGTGCACAACTGACCGATTTTAATTGCAAATTTGTGAAAAGCTGCGTGCTGTCAGACAGTGAGGAGGAGGTCAGCTGATGAGTCCCGATGCTTTCATTTCAGGATGTCTGACTTTGGCACAGAGTCAAATCCCTCCACAGAGACTTATAAGCAGGGATCAGCTGGTGAAAGTGCTTTTAAAAAACGACTCGGTATTATTGCAACTTGTGTCGTCGGAGGGTCATTGGTCGCTCTGTATGCAGTGACTGGACCGTTTGTTGCACCAGCACTGAGGAAAGTATGTCTCCCATTTGTACCTGCAACAAGGACACAGATTGAAAACGTACTTAAGGTTTTGAAAACTAGATCAGGGTCTCTGGTGGATATCGGCAGCGGAGATGGACGAATAGTGAGTTTCTATTGACTCTTTTATATCCATTTGTTTTAGTAAAGAAATTAAGAATTTATGTATGTATGTATTTGCGTTTTTAATATATGACAAAGACTTTTTTTATACATTTTCTCAGAGATGCGAAGAAATTATATCTTCATAAGAATATTTGATGTTCACTTTTAAAGCCCCCCCTGTTGATTTGATTTGGAACAAACAGTGCCATGTAAAAATCATAGTATATGAAAAAAAAATTATAAAATACAGTGGTATATATCAGTATTACAATACAACTGTATAATGTTATTGATGTTAGTTGATCACAGTTTGTTAATCTGTTAACAGTCCTAAAAATCTTGTTCCTCTGTGTGTCTGGTTTGGTCTAGGTTATCGCTGCAGCAAAAAGTGGCTTCAAGGCAGTAGGATTTGAGCTGAACCCATGGCTGGTCTGGTACTCCCGTTACAAAGCCTGGAGGGAAGGTGTTCATCACAACACATCTTTTTATATTTCTGACCTTTGGAAGGTGAAAACAGACAGTTCAATCATAATCTAAATGTGGATCTTACATTATATTTGTAACTAAGTATTTACAGATCGATACAATCTGCATGTAATCATGGCACATGTGTTAGAAGTGTTATTAGTCTCTTAAACTGTCTTCTTTCATAGGTCAGTTTTTCAGAGTACTCCAACGTGGTCATCTTTGGGGTTCCTCAAATGGTATGATCGTATGACTAATTACATATAATTATATATATATAAACATACATTCAATATTTTACATTAACATTAAGGTTGTTTTCTCCACAGATGGAGCAGCTTGAAGTCAAGCTCCAAAGAGAGCTCCAGAGTTCAGCCAAAGTAGTAGCTTGTCGCTTTCCATTTCCCACTTGGACTCCTGATGATGTCGCTGGAGAGGGAATTGATACTGTTTGGGTTTATAATGCCAAGACATTCAAACCTCCCATCAGAAATGATAAAGACAGTGAAAGACAAGAACTAGCGACAAACTAGGAAAACTAATTTCTTTAGAGAGGCTTTTCTTTCTTTACAATATTGACAAACATTTTGTCTCTCATGTAAGCTTGAAAAATACTACCTATTTTGGCTGCATATTGTTCCTAATTAAATATCCCTTTGTTTTAGTAAAGAAAATAAGAATCCGTTTGTTTTTTCTGCATTTATATTATATGATAAAGAAAACGATTTTATGTATTTTCTCAGAGGTGTGGAGTTAATTAAGTAAAAGTTAGGGGTGTAAAGATATTCAAACCGAACTGAAAAACCGCGATACACCACCCATGATATGCATCAGGGTACTCTTGGTACGTACCTCGGTCCGCCCCAGCCCTTGCGCGTGTCACTCAAATACTGATTTCACTTTCAAGACTTGCGTTTGAACTGACAAACTAACACAAAATGTCAACATGCCTGTCTTTGTGAGTCTCCTTGCAAACATTGTTGGTCATGTCTTAAGTGAACGGGAACAGTCGAGAAAGATGATGCATGTGTATCAGTATCAGTGTACTGGATCTGTGAATCATGTCTTAAAGGAACAGCAGTCTATTCCTGCTTTCTGTGTTTTTAATGGTAAACAACAAAAGACATAGAAATCACTCACTTCTCTTGAAATAGCTTTTGTAACTTCAACAAGGATCCTTTCATTTATACAGTGAAATATGCACTGTTATTTTACATTTGTTTACTTTCAAATTTCTGTTCCTGAAAATTACTGTTAAACACCTGAACAACTGTTTATTTTATGTGTATCTTTGCTCTATCATCAGGGTACTCTTGGTACGTACCTCGGTCCGCCCCAGCCCTTGCGCGTGTCACTCAAATACTGATTTCACTTTCAAGACTTGCGTTTGAACTGACAAACTAACACAAAATGTCAACATGCCTGTCTTTGTGAGTCTCCTTGCAAACATTGTTGGTCATGTCTTAAGTGAACGTGAACAGTCAAGAAAGATGATGCATGTGTATCAGTATCAGTGTACTGGATCTGTGAATCATGTCTTAAAGGAACAGCAGTCTATTCCTGCTTTCTGTGTTTTTAATGTTAAACAACAAAAGACATAGAAATCACTCACTTCTCTTGAAATAGCTTTTGTAACTTCAACAAGGATCCTTTCATTTATACAGTGAAATATGCACTGTTATTTTACATTTGTTTACTTTCAAATTTCTGTTCCTGAAAATTACTGTTAAACACCTGAACAACTCTGTTTTTTTTATGTGTATCTTTGCTCTATTGTATTTATTTGTGCTGTTGCATTTAGTTTGATTATTTAATATTATTTTTATCTTACCATAGTCCTCTTTTCCCTGAACATAGCACATACCGAACCGAACTGTGACCCTAAAACCGCGAATAGAGCCGAACTGTGAGCAATCTGAATCATTAATGTCAACATGCCTGTCTTTGTGAGTCTCCTTGCAAACATTGTTGGTCATGTCTTAAGTGAACGGGAACAGTCGAGAAAGATGATGCATGTGTATCAGTATCAGTGTACTGGATCTGTGAATCATGTCTTAAAGGAACAGCAGTCTATTCCTGCTTTCTGTGTTTTTAATGGTAAACAACAAAAGACATAGAAATCACTCACTTCTCTTGAAATAGCTTTTGTAACTTCAACAAGGATCCTTTCATTTATACAGTGAAATATGCACTGTTATTTTACATTTGTTTACTTTCAAATTTCTGTTCCTGAAAATTACTGTTAAACACCTGAACAACTGTTTATTTTATGTGTATCTTTGCTCTATTGTATTTATTTGTGCTGTTGCATTTAGTTTGATTATTTAATATTATTTTATTTATTTTTATCTTACCATAGTCCTTTTTTCCCTGAACATAGCACATACCGAACCGAACTGTGACCCTAAAACCGCGAATAGAGCCGAACTGTGAGCAATCTGAATCATTACACCCCTAGTAAAAGTACATCTTTAGTACTCATAGGGAAGAATATATGTCATGTAAATAATCCAACATTATTCCTTGAATTAAGTATTACTATGTCACATTTATTATAAAAATTATATCTCATATTGATAAACGATGCATGCATATTCATGTTAACACATCTAATTTCCATTACATAAAAAAAATCCCATTCACCACAAAACCTTTGAGCCATACACACCACCATATTAACTTGTTTGCATTGTGGAGACCAAATGCCCTCATACAAAATGTTACCTACAAAACATGAGATGCCAATAAATAGTCCATATCCCTAGAAAAAGGTGTGCATATGTGTTTACACATGCCCAGGTGTAACAAGATTCAAAGTCCCATGCCTCACCATCTTAACATACATGCAAACTACAAAAACTGCCTCTAGTATTTTTCGGTGGCATTGTGCACTGGTTATAGTAAATACCATATGCCATGATGCATCCGTATTGTATTAAAATAATAATAAGGATTGCATCTTTAATGCATAATTTCGCATTGCATCTTAAAAAATATACTAACAAGATGCATATCGAGCTGTAGTAGTTCGTATGTACGTTCATTTATCTACAACTAAGCGCAGTCACCACCGGAAAACGCCAGAAAGTGTCGCGTGCTCTGCCGTAAACCGAAACCGTAGCAGCACATTTCAGATCCAGAGGCCACAGACATGTTCAGCAGAGCAGTAAAATAGTCGACCAACGCTATCTGTAAGCACTAACGTTACACGAACAAAAAGGGGTCAGGTCTGGGGTTATGCGGCGTTCATGCTTGGATCGATTTCGTCATGTTGTATTTTAGCGTAGTTGTAAGCTGATATTGTGTGTTTTGTTCCGCGGTGTGTGTTATGTGTTGACTGTAAAAGAGGACAGTGCGTCACCGTACAAGATGGACACTGCCGAAGAAGGTAAGCTGTCTAGACACGGAGGCACTGTGGCTGCTGTCTGTTTGCCTGTTGTTGATTTTTAAATGCGCTTTGACTAAACATTCGACGTTTGTTTAACATTAAGATGATTTAGCCGGAGCGCGCAACCAAATATGCATCTGTACCTGATGTGGCCTTTGCAAGCTAACGAGCTAAATGTTTACCTGCCAGCTTGGTCTATAGTACAGCTGTCATCCTCCAAGCACGTCAAAATAAAGACACTAATATGAATTTGAACTTGATTTCGACTTTACAGGACGTCATGGGAATTTTTAAAAGCACATTAATCATGTAAAGTAGTATTAGCCATTATCATAAAATGTATAACTTACGTGGAATGGTCTATTTGTGTATTTTTGTGTATCAGGTGTAAACGCACCTGAAATATTGATGACAAAAATGAAACGTAGTAGATAAGTCAAATCACGTGTCCCATTGATTTTTGAACTTTGTGTGCTGGAGGAGTGATAGTTGTCTCTCATGTTATTCATTATTATCTAGTTTAGGTTTATACAGTTGTTAAAGCAAGAGGGCAAAGATGACCAGGAGATTGATTGGCAAGATCGCAAGCAATAATCTTGCATGTATCTACCATTTTTTTTCTTCTTCGATATAAACTGAAAATCACAAAATGTAATTAAGTCTAATTTCATAACTCATAACCCTTCGTGTTTTGGCAGGTACAGTGTGTTTGTTGCAACATTTATATCCTGTTCATTTAATTTAATGTGTTCTGTATATATCGGTTTTAAATGTTTATTTTGCCCATATTTTCTGGCAGGTGATATATGTAGGGTGTGTCGATCTGAGGGAACCCAGGACAAACCCCTCTACCATCCCTGCGTGTGTACTGGAAGTATTAAATTCATCCACCAAGAATGGTAAGAGCTTTGTTCATTCAGTGATGAATTCCCTGTACGATAACTGTTTTATAAAATGCGTTTTGGGTCAAACAATGTAAAGTACCTTCCAACGTGTCAGATTTGTGTGTTCCATCGAGTGCGTTGTTTTTAACTTAGAAATGGGACATTAGAAGTAACGGTCAATGATGACAGCTGGCTCATACCTAAAGGCACTTTATTATTAGTTTATTGCGCCTGCTATAAAATTCAGAGGATGTTACTTGAGCAGTTAACTACCCTTAACCTGCTGTCCTGCAGTAATAATTCTAGGTGTCCTACTCAAGATGAGTCAGTAATGGCAAAAAATGGGACCGCGTGAAATGGAATACCACTTGCAATGTAAGAAGGGGTTCCAAGCTCTGACAAACAAGAATATGATCTGATCTGACAAAGGCCTTGCTGTTCATTAGTAAGCTTACAAGTCAACAAGTGCAGGCATTAAGCATAGTTAAGATGATTTAGTGAAAGTTGATACACTACCATTCAAAAGTTAAAATTTGGTTTTGGTAACATTCTTAAGGTTTTGAAAGAAGTCTTTTATGCTCACCAAGACTGCATTTTTAAAATCAGAAACACAGTAAAATAAACTGTTTTCTATTTTAAAAAGTTTTAACTTGTAATTTAATCAAGAGATGGCAAATCTGAATTTTCAGCAGCCATTATTCCAATCTTCAGTGTCGCATGATCCTTCAGAAATATTTTGCATTGTATTGGTGAACATTTCGTATTATCAGTGTTGAGAACAGTTGTGGAAAATCGGATACTGTTTTTTTTCAGGATACTTTGATGAACAGAAAGTTGAAAAGAACAGCATTTATTTGAAATCTTGTAATATTATTAACCTCTTTACTGTTACTTTTGATCAGTTGAATGCATCGTTGCTGAATAAAAGTGTTAAATTCTTTAAAAAAAAAAAAGTTACCGACCACAATCTTTTTAATGGTAGTGGTATATTGCTTTGGCAAAAGTAGATGATAAATAAAAAAGAAAATAGTATTTTAGTTGTGTTGCACATTTCTGTAATACCCTAAATCGGCTAATTTGTCTGTCAGTAGATCTAGGGTTAACCTTTCTATTGGGGCCAGTTATTTTTGTTAGGCTTTGTGTTCCGGTTTTTGTTGTTTTTGGTTATTGAATGGAGTCAGCAACACCCATTTGACTAACTGAAAAGCTGTAACTTATGAGCTCAGGAGTCCTCCTCAATGTAACGGTAACCAACTATGGAGTTCCAGCTTTTTGTTAATCTTCCCTTGTGGAAATGGGAAATGAAGCAGGATTTTCTGTGCTTTTTCACACAAGTCAGATCGTCCTCCTCACGCCCACTTCCTGCCCCCCTCTTGTGTTTTCACAGCTTGGTGCAGTGGCTTAAACACAGCAGAAAAGAGTACTGCGAATTATGCAAGCACAGATTTGCTTTCACGCCAAGTAAGTAACCCACTCTCATTACATTCTTCTGGGGAGGTAAAGCCATGAATAGTTCTATAGAGTCACAAGTTCACAACGGCCTTGAATGGCCAGTTCAAAAGCAGCAATTGTGTGCTTCAGAGCGATAGGGTTCTATGGGTTGATCATGTGATGTAAAAGCACGGCACTCGTGTTGTCTGACGTAGCTGCTCTTTGCTTAGGTGAAACAAGCTTTTTACACCCAGAGTGAGTCGTTGCATGGCTTTGCTACAATGAAAGTGTTTTAATTTAGTTTTGGTCTTTGCTCTTCAAAAGCTTTGGAAAGAATTGAAACACAAGCCCTATGGAAAGCATTGCTTCCAGTTTTCTGTGGGAACTTAATGTATTACGTAACATAGAATGACACGATTAATCAAAATAGCACCAAAATCACAATGTTAAATCATGAAGGATGTGATTGAATTAAATTATTATATGTGCTGCTGCGTGTTTTAGAGTGAAGCACGGCACTGTGTTCTTGTACACACAAACTCTTGATTCTCATTGTTTGGAAGAGATGCTTTAGAGATGCCTCTTCTGTACTTCTGTTTGCAGAGTTATGCTTTTTCAGAGTCATGATCTATATTAAAGAGCAAGATATTTATTAAACAAATTTGAAAATAACCTAATAATCTTATTAATTCACTTAAATAGTTTGCAAAGGATTATGATTATCTTAAATTGGAATTAAATACAATTTATAATCCCCAATTTTCAGTACGGAATAATACACTTCCAGTGGAGCCCAAAATGTTTATCAACAATTGTAATATATAATGCATTCAAATCCTCATCTTTTTTCATTTCAGTTTACTCTCCAGACATGCCTTCACGGCTCCCAGTGCAGGACATTTTCGCAGGACTGGTCACAAGTATAGGCACGGCTATCCGATACTGGTTTCATTACACGCTTGTTGCCTTTGCTTGGCTGGGGGTTGTACCTCTAACAGCATGTAAGTAATGCCCAGAGGTCACAGTCTGGTACGCTGTGAGTAGTACACTGTCTTTATTCCTATGTTGTGCATTGTATGTGATGTTGCTCATATAATGTTCTCCTTTTCCTGTAGGTCGCATCTATAAGTGTCTGTTCACTGGATCTGTAAGCTCCCTCCTGACTCTGCCCTTAGACATGCTCTCCACGTACGTACAAGACAGGAAAGCTCTCAAGTTTTCTCCTTAAAATATTCATTTACATTGCGGATCAGCTCATTGTGAACTCTGAGCATGATTATTTCAATACTCTCTGCGGTCTCGGGTTTAGCCGTGGACGTGGTTGCGTGGTGAATTGTAATGGATAGGTATTTCAGAAGTGATGATCAGTGAATGTTCATGCTCTGCAGAGAGAACTTGCTGGCCGACTGCCTGCAGGGCTGCTTTGTGGTGACCTGCACCCTCTGCGCCTTCATCAGTCTGGTGTGGCTGCGGGAGCAGATTGTTCATGGTGGAGCCCCTTTATGGTTGGAGCAGAACCAGCAGCAACCTGCCAATGCTGCAGGACCGGCCAATGAGGTACGATACTCATGTGACATTATGCTGCTTTTCATCAGATCGAATGCAGATCACCCTCAAATTGAATGGATTTAGAATATACAATGGTGATACACTAATAAAATTGTATAACTAAAATTGAATAACTAAAAATTTTACATTACAGTACACTTTCTTTTTATTTGAGTTGTCATTATTACATTGGCATCTACACTACCGTTCAGAAAGTTTAAAAATGTTTTTGAAAAAAGACTCTGCACCAAGGCTGCATTTATTTGATTAAAAAAATACAGTAAAACAGTAATATTGAGAAATATAATTGCAATTTAAAATTACGGTTTTCTTTTTGAGTATTTTTAAAAATGTAATTTATGCCTGTGGTGGCAAAGCTGAATTTTCAGCAGCCATTACTCCAGTCTTTAGTGTCACATGATTCTTCAGAAATCATTCTAATATGCTAATTTGGTGCTCAGGAAATATTTCTTATTATCAGTGTTCTGTGGAAACTGTGATACATTTAGACTTTAAGCATTTCTATTCCAAACAGAATAGCTTTTTTGACACCATTACGATGTGCAAAAAAAAAAACTGATTATCTAAAAATCTAATTTTAAATATTGCCATATGTTCAGCCAAAAATGGCATTATGGCATTCTCAGCACAAATTTTTTTGGTGGCTGAAACTTCAGTTTATGCCTAATAAACTTATTTATTCATATTTATTTTTCCGTAATTTCCACACCGGCAACTTCTGTACAGCAAAAATGACATTCCTATTGCAGCTTAAGTCAGCGAAACTTTCTGAAGCTTGATATTCTTTAGAGACCAATTATACAGGTTGAACATGACCCTCTTTGTTTACTTTTTCATGCTTACTGTAATGATCATTTTGATTTGAGCACACAGTAGCCTGCCTGACCTTCTGTCATCTTCAAATCCCTCATTATCTCCTGAATCTGGAGACTGCACTCTTACCAAAATAGCTGTTTGTTTTTTTTCTTGGTTTGAACCAGATGCAGTTTACTACTAGTTGACAAATGTACATACTCTACCATAGTTGATCCCAGTCAGTAGAAAATTTTCTCCATTATTAATATCCTATTCATTAGGCTGCTGGCCAGGGTAATGGGGGTGCTGAAAACCAGCCCATGCCCGCACCGGCCGAACCTCCAGCAGAAAACGCTGCAGCGGCTGAAGCTCCTGACCTCCCCGCTGACCCTATGGAAGAGATGGAGCTGGATAATGAAGATGAGGAGGATGGAGGAGCCGAAGATGTGGCGGATGCCAACAATGGAGCACAAGGTATGACGGCTTTAATTAAACAAATGAGAAACATTTCAGTGGGTATAAATGTTGACTGGTGCAAAAAGCTGTTGGGATGCAAAATTGTGTATGTTCTGTGCAGATGATATGAACTGGAATGCTCTGGAATGGGATCGTGCAGCTGAAGAGCTCACTTGGGAAAGGGTGAGACTATGTGCTGTGTGTCACTGTATCATATATCATACCAAAATCTTTCAGAAAAACATTAAACCTGTTCTCCCCCCTTCGTTCAGATGCTTGGGCTTGATGGGTCCCTGGTTTTTCTGGTGAGTGACACAAATATTTTATTTCTCAAAAAAAAAAATCCTTTTCAAAAGAACCAATAATTAATGGTTTTTTTTTTTGCTTTAGGAGCATGTGTTCTGGGTGGTCTCACTCAACACACTCTTCATCTTGGTGTTTGGTAAGCATCATTGCAGATTTGTTTAAACGAAATTATAACATTAATGCATTCATGTTAAGTAACCCAATATGAAAACACTGACTATGTTCTCCAATTACAAACTTCAACTCTTGAAATCATATCATCTTAGCTTTCTGTCCCTACCATATTGGCCACTTCACAGTGGTTGGACTTGGTTTTGAAGAATATGTAAGTATCAGATCAGTTTTAGACCTTTTTATCTAGCTTGATTAAGAAAAAAACTTTAAAAAAAATTATGTAAATGCAGTTTCAACATTGACAACTGTTTCTCGTCTGGTTTCAGGTTCGTGCCTCACACTTTGAGGGACTCATCACCACTATAGTTGGATATGTCCTTTTGGCCATCACACTCATTGTGTGTCATGTATCCTTAAAACACTCAATAACATCTGAAATAATCACCATCTAAGGCTGGTGCGATTTTTTGCTGTTGTACGAGCTCAGAAATCATTCCGCTATAATCAATCAAGCTTTCTACACTGCACAATAAATCTCTCTTTTTATATCATGTCTACACTTTGTTGTCCGAACTTGCACCGTGTACGCCCGGCTTAACTAACTACCTTCTCTGGTTTACCAAGTCTTCCAGGAAGTTACACACACACAAAAAAAGATGCTAGTCATATTTGGTGGGAAATTGCCACACATCCACCTCAAGTCATTCAGTGTCAGTTTATGTTGTCTTCTAGGGCAGTATTACAAAAACACTCCTAAAGGTGCTGTTTACCCTTTTTCAGGGTTTGTTTTTTTTACGGGCCAAATTCAGTTTCAGTAGGAATCCACTCAATATGGTTCATGCTGGTCGTGTGTATTCAAAGTGTCAGCCAACGGAAAGTTTCTTGGTTTGAAAGTGACTTCTGTGTGAGCTGTGCCTCATATATCGCGACAATTTTGCCCAATTTTTTGCCCACAAAATTTTGCTGAAATTTCATTTATGTGACCGCACCTTAAGTCAAAGCCATATCTATTTAATAGCCATAACAATTTCAGTTAGGGTCTTGTTTATAACATTGAACTTCTCATATGTTAACTCTGTTGACTTAAGATGGGAGGTTTCTGTAATGTTCCTTTCCTTAATTCAGATCTCAGGGATTAGCAGCACTGGTGAGATTTCAAAGATCACGCCGCTTGTTAGGAGTCTGCTACATTGTCGTAAAGGTCAGTTACATCAGCAGTTTAAATGTGTTGTTCTATAAAGCCAGGTTTGCTAAACTTGAGTAATTAGAAAGGACAAAAACAATGACTTGATAACATTGGTTGCAACAACTGGTTTTGCAAACGATTTTTGGGATTCACTGTAATTCTTTGTTCTCAGTCATGCTAATGCTATAATTAGGTACATCTAAGCTTAGAATACAGGCCTGGGCCTGATACACTTATTTATGCTACTATGTTTTATATTTGTGACTCGTTTAGTTTCTGTCATGTATGTCTTTTTATTGAGGCTCATATTAAATTATTATCTTTTGTTTCTTCTAGGTCTCTCTTCTAGTAGTTGTAGAGATTGGTGTGTTCCCCCTCATCTGCGGCTGGTGGCTTGATATCTGCTCTCTGGTATTCAGTTTCATTTTATCAAACTAATTAAGGTCATCTTGGCCCAAAAAGGTCTAATATTTGGAGAAAGCTAGCATTGGTTAGCATTCCCATTCATCTCAATGACAGCTGCTCTGCTTCATTTCTTAATTTTTATAATGAAGAAAAAAGGGAGTGCAAATTTAAAGCCTTAGTAAGTTTAGTTTAGGAACCTTAACCTTAGTATTTGTACATTTTTTTTTATTTTTTTATTTTATCTCTGTGTTTTGTAGGAAATGTTTGATGCCTCATTGAAAGACCGAGAGTTGAGTTTTGAATCTGCCCCAGGGACCACTATGTTCCTTCACTGGCTGGTGGGGATGGTCTACGTCTTCTATTTCGCCTCTTTCATTCTTCTACTCCGAGAGGTGGGCATTTCTATATCAGTTTAATCATGCAGGAGATTTTTCAGGAGATGTTTAGAATGCTGTCCTTGTATCTCTCAGGTTCTAAGGCCTGGGGTCTTGTGGTTTCTCAGAAATCTGAACGATCCAGATTTCAACCCAGTGCAAGAAATGATACATCTACCAATATATAGACACTTGAGACGATTCATACTATCAGTGGTGAGTAAATTCTCACCTCTTTTTGAGACCCTTTTCAAAGGATCCAGTTAAATTTCACAGTAAAAATTATTCAATGCTTTTGCATTCTCTTGCAAAAGAATAGTTTTCCTCCTAGAAACCTTTGCACTGACTCGCAAAACTTTTGTGATGGAAATAATATAAGGTGGGAGGAAAAACTATATTTCAGTGTTCAAGTTTCTCGGGGGAACGCAATACTTACGTGAGAGTATGCAAATGTTTTGTGAGCAAACGCAGTGTTTCTCAGGAGAAAGTGATACTTATGTGAGAGAGTGCAAAAGCACTGAAATGTTTTCCTCATATTCATATATCATATTTTGTTCCATCTCCATGTCCCCTAAGGTGCTCCTTACTCTTCTGTTTTCTGTGTTCTTAAATTAACAGGTTTTTCTCTCTTTTCAGGTTGTGTTTGGCTCAATCGTTCTTCTCATGTTGTGGCTTCCTATCCGGATAATCAAACACATCTTCCCTTCATTTCTTCCCTACAATGTGATGCTTTACAGGTAAATAAAATGTATTTCCATCTCGTTATCATAAACGATTAATGTTCCTTGTGATAATTGCCTAAACTTTGTGTAAAGATTCAGAGCTTGAGGACAAGTGTCATTTGATGTTTTTGCTTGTTTTACTGTATAAATCCAGCCAGAGATTACAGCCAGAAGAAGGGAAGTTCTTTCTCTGTGTGACTTCATTTAAAAGGGCCATAAATGTGAAGTGCTGATTACTGCAGTCATGGCAGATCTTTGCTTCGTTACCTAATGAGTGTCAGGACTCTCTGTAGTGTCAGGTGGGCCTGTTGCATCATTTGGCAGGTGTTACACCTGATGTCATCATTCCCTGCAGTGCATTACTACTGTCTGTTCTTGCATAGAACTATTATTATAGTGTCCACAACAATAATGCCATAGAAAGTAATCTCTCTCTGTGTTTGTGTATTTTACCCTATGTTACCCTGCTGTTTTCTCAGCAGTGTTGAGCTTTACATTCGTCACTGTGAGAGTACTTTGAACAGCTGTTTTGTTTGTTAGGGCACTGACTCTGACTTCTGTGGAAAGAGGCCATCCTTCACATGTTGAGGGCTTTTAAATATCGTTTGAATGACTGAGCAAGCTGATGTTTGAACTTCCAAACTCATGTGACTTTCTTCTGTGGAACACAAAAGATAAAGATATTTGGGGGGAAGAAAAGCGCTTTAGCTGTTTTGTCCAAACAATGAAAGCCATTGGGGTTCAAAACAACACTGTATGGACAAAATAAAAAAACTAATAGATATTCTTCAAAATATCTTCTGTAGTCATAGTCCTACAGCTTTGGACATGAGGGTAAGTAAATTGTCAGAATGTTCATTTATTGGTAAACTCTCCCTTTAATGCTGATTTTTAGCTTCAACATTACAAGTTACTGTTCTCTCCTGGTTCACTAATTGATGCCTCATGTTAACTCTGAAATATATGAGTTTTTAGAACATTGGTTTTCAATTTATGAGTAGAATAAAGGGCTGTTCACACCAAGGACAATAACTATATCGATAACTGTAACTTCAAAGTTTTAATAAAAATTGAGGAGTGGGGAAGTCCACACCACAGCTATCATTATAATGTACAATATAGTTGGAATAAATTTCAGATTTTTTCCCAGCTGATAAATGGTAAAAACATTGACAGTCTATCAAAATTTACTACCTTTAAAGGGGTCCTATTATGCTCTTTTACAAAGTCTTGATTTTGTTTTGGGGGTGTACTAGAACAGGCTCTCATACTAGGTTGTTAGAAAAACAGATTATTTTACATTATTACAACACCTCTCTCCCCAGTCTGGCATGAACAGCTCGAATAGTAAAATATCTCCTTTTGAAGTGGACTTTGAACTTTGTAACTTTGCAGATCTTTTTTTATGCTCAAACAGCAACATTACAGACTAACTAAAGTTGAAAAAGCATAATAGGACCCCTTTAAAGAGCTTGAGCATTTAAAACAGAGAACATCATAACGCCAGTGTGCTCTTAAAGTAAATAATGTTATATCGGTCATTGTGTCGCTAATAGTTATTGTTATGAACCGACCTTAAAGTCTGTGGTTAAGCATTATTTGAAGAAACTTTCATATTTTGTTCTAAAACATAAATGACACGGTTATTTTGAAATCGTGCTTTAAAAGCATAAATTGTTAACATAAGGGGCAGTAGTGTTGGCTTTATTTTGGTTGTTATAAATTTGAAAATGATGCTGCTGTAATTGTTCAGTCAGTCAAAAAACTTACTGTTTTTAGGCCAGAAAAATATAGCTCTAGTTTAATTCTAAAATATAAAATTAAATCATTACATATATATTTTCAACTAAACTATATGAATTATAAATGTGAGGTTTTCAGAGAGGTTTATTTTATTTATTTATATATATATATATATTTTCCCCCTGCACATTTGTTCCTTCAATTGATCCTTCCATTATATAAAGCATAAGTTCTTTGTTTCCGCTCATCCTGGACGACACTGTCGTTGCAATTGGACTTCGTTTGATTCTCATTTTTAGAAGAGGTTTTAGCACTCATTCGAGTGGCTTCATCATGTGGAGCTTCGAGTGGTCTTCAATCAAAGAGTTATAACAGCTGCATTGTAAATGACTACTTGAGCTCTTTAAGGGCAAAATTCAGATGATATCTGAGCAGTTGGGCACCCTTCATACTGCATATGGGAGTTGTATAGTGACGTTTCTGATTCCAATAAATGCCTGTTTGTTCTTGTCTGGTCACTTCCAACTCTCTTTGGGGCTCAATAAAGAGCAGATCACTATCGTACTGCATATGTTCACATACAGTATACTGACTAATTTCTGTTGCTGCACCACTGAAAGTATTCTGGCTGTATCAGTGACTGTTGTGGGAGTAGTGTGGTAAAATTAGCTCATCACTGGCTGTGCTACCGAACATTAGGGATATCTTGAATGCCTTAAGAAGGCCAGGTGTGTTCTCAAGGACCTCAGTCACCCAAAATAGAACCTTTTCTGCCTGAAATCTTAATTAAACCGTCAAAAACCAACATGTATCTTAAGACATGTTTTTCTTGGAGAGGGTTTCTTTCATGTTACAATACGTTAGTACATTTACCTGTTCTTACCGTTCTTGTCTCTCTGAATAGGAGTCACTATGGAGATGCAGAATTTGGTGCAGAGGAGAATCTACCCCTTCCTTCTGATGGTAGTGGTGCTGATGGGTATCCTCTTTTTCCAAATCCGACAATTCAAGCGCCTTTATGAGCACATCAAGAATGACAAGTGAGTCCTGAGTGTCAGAAATTAACTACTTTCTTAAGAGCCAATACAAATGTCTAGTGGAGTTGATTTTCAGAGATATTTTAGTACCTTGAGAACATTTTTAATAGTGTGCCACCCATTTGCTCTACCTCTCAAAGATTTGGGGGCAGATTTTGTAAAAGTATAGAAAATATTTTACTCAGCAAGGATGCATTAAATTCTGATAGTAAATTGACCATCACTATGGAGATGCAGAATTTGGTGCAGAGGAGAATCTACCCCTTCCTTCTGATGGTAGTGGTGCTGATGGGTATCCTCTTTTTCCAAATCCGACAATTCAAGCGCCTTTATGAGCACATCAAGAATGACAAGTGAGTCCTGAGTGTCAGAAATTAACTACTTTCTTAAGAGCCAATACTTGCTGATACAAATGTCTAGTGGAGTTGATTTTCAGAGATATTTTAGTACCTTGAGAACATTTTTAATAGTGTGCCACCCATTTGCTCTACCTCTCAAAGATTTGGGGGCAGATTTTGTAAAAGTATAGAAAATATTTTACTCCGCAAGGATGCATTAAATTCTGATAGTAAATTGACCGTAAAGTACATTTATAATGTTATAAAAGATTTCTATTACAAATAAACTTTAGATTTTTTTATTCATCAAAGAATCCTGGAAAAAAGTGTAATAGTTCCCACAAATATATTAAGCAGCACACCTGTTTTCAACATTGATAATAATAAGAAATGTTTCTTGAGCAGCAAATCAGCATATTAGAATGGTTTCTGAAGATAAATTGCACTTTAAAGTATATTAAAATAGAAAACAGAGAAAATTGTAATAAGATTTTACAATAAATAAATGCAGCCAAGGTGAGCATAAGGGACTTCTTACATTAAAAAAAAAAAAAAAAAAGGGTCCCCCTTTTGATCAAAAATGAAGTCTGTCGCTTCACACCTTATTTACTGATGGCGAGGCTGTGTGTTTTGTTCTTTATTCATCCATGCAGGTACCTTGTTGGACAGAGACTTGTGAACTATGAACGAAAAGCTGGCAAGCTCAGCACTACCACACACAGCAGTTCAGTGCAGGAGTAAAGAGCTTGGGATTGCTTTGGAGTCACTCTTTTTGTGTGTGAGCGAGCGAGCATGTGTGAATGACTGAATGAGCCTTTCTCTCCTGCTCCCTCTTTGTGCGTCCTTACATCCAGCACGCCCACTATGACTGACTTCTGGCCTCTCTGACCCTGCCAGCAAAAAAAGGGAGAAAGAGCCATGTACATAAACGGGGCGAAAGAGTGAATCCCTACAGCCAAATGGAAAAAATGAAAAAAAACAACAAAAAAAATATTAAGTATGTGTATTAATTTATTAAATCTAGTTGTTACCTTTTTTTGTGGAGCTTTGTTCGTGGCAAGACTCGACCCACATGGTTCCTTTCATCACCCTCGTGGAGAGGCCAGTCAGACTCCAGGGATGAAATGTCTGGGTCATAATGGAGCTGGACTGTCACATTTGTACCTTTTTTATTTATTAGTTTAGAATTTATTGAAATACGATCTTGGTGTTTTTGAATGAGAGGGTCTTGTTTGATTTGATGCTTTCGGTAGTGTGTCTTACCTTCATTTCTCAATGCTTTAACCTCCCTAATTTTATGTGCAGAACAGAAGTGGATGGAGGCGGATTTAATGGTTATGCCACACCCATCTGCTTCCTGTCATGTGGAAAAGAGGGAATTTTGTTTCACCAACAGTTTGTCCGCGACTGTTGTTGACCAATTCAAGAACATAGAAGCACAGAGTCAGTATCTAGCAGCCGAAGCGTAGTTTGATGGTGGAGTTTATGGCTCACAGTGAGCCGCAAAGCCGATCTCTGCCTGCTAGCTCTTCGCTCAACTCCTTCAAAATCCTTTCAAGTAGCTTAAAAGACCGTTTAGAGTGCTAATTGCGTCAGTGGTTGAGCTAGCATATTTGTTTGCTGTTCAAGTTGATATCATTGACCGTTGTATGTCAGTCTCGTGCTCAGCATGGCCTAGCAACACTTTCTCATAGATGTAATTCTGGCACGTACACGGGTTGTTGCACTTTTTTAATTTAAGAAAGTGTCTTTTAAGAGCAGCAATAGTTTGGAAACCCTTTAGACCAAATTTGAAGTCCTTACTCGTATAGGTACTGGAGCTCACAAAAATTAATTAAACCGATCAGATTTTCAGCCAAAACCTGGTTTATTATTCTTGCTTCGGTTCGGTAGAAGAGTTTCGTGTCTGTAGGTAAGGAGGAGATCCTCAACACATTTGTAAATAATGTAACTTTGATTCTTCGTAGCAGAGTATGTTTTTCTCCATTTCAAATTTGCTGCGTCTGTTACAGGTTCACGATACCCGAAGAATTTGTCTCAGACAGCTTTAGTGTTAATCAGCGCTGAGATTCTATAAGTGACCTTATAGTATCTTATTACACTGAAACTGGATACTGTATGCTTCTTGATAGCTTGCGCTCCTCTGAAAGGCAAATGTTCTATTTTTATATGTGCAACTAGTGACACCGTTTTCATGTTTGTTCAGCCATCGATTTGATTTCCTCTAACGTTTACTGAGGTCAGCTAGAATCCAGGTAAAGCTAGTGGTTCAGCACTAAACACCTTTGTGTGTCTGGTTTACTAAGCCTTTTCCTTCTCCGCATGTTTTTGAGAGAATTATTCAGTATTCTGAATGTTTTCAAACCTCCTCCTTGGAGGCTCTTGCTGTAATAATTACATTCTCATAATGGCAGATTTTTTTGTTTGTTTGTTGAAAACTTTTATTACAAATATTAAATCACAAAGTGTAGTACTTACAGTGCTTTGTGTCTTCAATCAAACTTATCATTCATATACTTATTTTTACACAATTCACTAAGTGAATTAGAAATCTAATAACGTTTATTTAACGTCTAATAACTGATTTTATAAGACACAATGAGAACTTCACTAAAAGCTAATAAATCTATTAGATGTTCGTGGTATGCAGGGAAAGGCTGCTAATTGCACAATTCATTCAGAACACATACATTCAGAACGGGACAATTCCTGTTAGCATGTAGAATAATGGCATCAACCTTACCAAGGTTTCTAACTCTTTTAGCAATATCAGATGAGCCAAACTGCCTTCTGTCTAAATATGCTTTGATCCCATTTAAGGGTTCATATGATGTTGCTAAAAAGAACATTTATTTTGTGTATTTGGTGTAATGAAATGTGTTTAAGGTTAAAAAACATTATTTTCCACATACTGTACATTATTGTTTCTCCTCTATGCCCCTCCTCTCTGAAACGCGTAAATGTTTACAAAGCTCATCGTTCTGAAAAGCGAGGTGTGCTCTGATTGGCCAGCTATCCAGTGCATTGTGATTGGCCGAATACCTCAAGTGTGTGACGGAAATGTTATGCCCCTTACCATATTGTGATTTTGTGCCTTGTCCCGGCCAGAGCGAAACAATAAAACTCATTATAAACGAGGCATTTGTTGCATCCATTGGGACATAATTACAGATTATAATGACATACTGTCTTTACCGCGTAAACATAAAACCATGTCTGCATTTGTGATCGGAGAAATGACAAACAACAAACACTACTCTACACTGCTCAAAACTTGCGTTTGAATCATCAGTGGCAAATTCTTTAAATATAAAAACGTACTTACAGTCTGTGAGTCAGAACAGCCGGCATTGTAGTCTACTCTTCCAGGATCAGGAAACAGTCCTCCATAAAATGTGCTGGACACATCTGAATATTTGGGTTGAAGTGTTCTGGAACAGTGTTGTAAATACAACTTAACCACTGATTTCTAGTCGTATCCTCTTTTGGAAGACCAAACAAAGTAGTTTCGTTTTCACAACGAAACACAGCGTCACACACGGCGGGCTAGAGTGAGCAGAGGCCGGCTTGAGTGAGCGGCGGCCGGCGGGCTTGCGCCAACCACATGTGACGACCCCGGACTGGACTCCGCTTCGTCCAAGGTCAAAGCCGATGTATTTCCTTAGCGACCAGCACGGATCAGCTCCAGGCATGACGAAGTGGATATCATCCTCTTTTGGAAGGCCAAACAAAGTAGTTTCTCTTTCACAATGAGATGCACAGCGCCTTCACGACATGGCGGCGGAGGCAACAACAATACTACAGCGAGAATAAAAGTTACGCCTTTCTTTGCGTGAACATTTGGGCGGCGTTATGCAAATCTTCCCACATAGTTAGGTAGACATGTGGGGGCGTGTTAGAACGAGACGTTTTAGGCAGGCATGGTTGACTCTTAAATTTTATAAAGAATATATATTTGGATTTGAGACCTTAGTCTTTGCAACTTTACAGATCTTTCTGCACCAAGAGCTTGTAACACTCCAAAGAGAAAGGAAAAATTTTAATTGCATCATGTGACCCCTTTAAATGTTTAAAAGAACAGTTCACCCAAAAATGAAAATTTGCTGATGTACTCACCCTCAGGCTATTCAAGATGTAGATGAGTTTGTTTATTCATTAGAACAGATTTGGAGAAATTTAGCATTTATTCACATTTTCACCATTGAATCCTCTGCAGTGAATGGGTGCCGTCAGAATGAGAGTCCAAACAGCTGGTAAAAGCATCACAATCGTCCAGAAGTAATGCACATGACTCCAGTCCATTAATTAACGTCTTGAGAATTACAAAGCTATAATTTTGAAAGAAAAAAAATCAATCATTAAGACATTTTTACTTTAAACCATTGCTTCTAGACAAAATAATCCACAATAATGCTTCCTCCAGTGAAAAAGTTGTCCACTGACATTTGTTTAGAACTGTTTTGGACTTTTTGCTTGTAAACTGTGCTTAATCTGTGCATACTTACTCAGATGAGATTACTACTTTTTCACTTGGGAAAGCAATATTTTGGAGGTTTATAGGCTTGTATTATAGCTGTAAACAATCGTTTAGCTTTTTGCTTCACAAGACATTCATTGAAGACTGGAGACTGTATTACTTGTGGATTATTGTGATGTTGGCACCCATTCACTGCAGAGAGTGAGCAAGTGATGTAATGCTAAATTTCTCCAAATGTGTTCTGATGAAGAAACAAGCTCAAACATCTTTGATGGCCTGAGACTTCATGAAGAAATAAGTTTGTGCATGTAGGTTGATGGACTACTAGGACTCTTCTTGCTTTCTTTTCACTTCCCATGGTTTCTCATTATTACATCACACTAATTTGTTTGATTTGTTTAAAATGGCCATTGACATTTTGTTGGCTGAATTTCTTGTCATATACAGTGGAGATCAAAATTAGAGAACAATCTATAAATACTTGATTTTTTTTCTGAAATATTATCTTTATCGCTCAAAATTTGAAGGAATATTAGATGTGGTTATACCGATGTTATATTAACATGTTTGTCAAAATTACCAAGGCATTTCATCTGTGAAATCTGTGGCCGCAGGACATCACTAGTTTCTCACTGCGCGGGTGTGACCTTGGTCCACTCTTCTTCCACTCTCTTCCATAGTTTGGTAACTTTGTTGCCAAAGATTTTCAGTTAGGTTTAGATCAGGACTCTGGGCCGGCCATTTCATTATTTCAGTGTTCTTAGCTTCAAGGAACTGCTTTACCCGTTTTACAGTGTGACTGGGGCATTGTCTTGCATGAAAATTGCAGGTTGATTGGAAGATGCTTGCTTGCAGGGAAGGAAGTGCATATTGCTGAAGGTTCTGATAAACATTTGCATTCACCCTGCCATGTATCTGAATAAAAGGCCCAACTCCTGCTGCAGAAAACATCCCCCAAACCATGACACTTCCTACTCCACCTTTCACTGACTTTATGCACTTGGGGATCAGTTTTTCCCCAGTTTGATGCCGAACATAATGTTTCGCATCAGACCCAAATAAATTAAACTTGCTCTCATCACTAAAGTGAACTTTGGACCAGTTCTCCTCAGTCCACACAACATGCTCCTCAGCAAAGGTTTGTGTAGCCTTATGATTCTTTTTGCTGATGAGAGGCTTTGTCACTGCAGAGTGCGTTTTCAGTCTAACTTCTTTTAAACGTGCCAAGACCGATCCATACCCTGTTCAGCTCTGAACAGGCAAGCATTTCCAGCTGCAGTGTTGAACCAATTCCCCATTCAGAGTCTCTGCATTATCCTGTCTTTTTGGGGGACTTGAATTAATTAGTGTCATTGTAAACCTGCAGTTTTCGAGAAATCACAGATTTGGAATGACTGGCTTCTTTTGCGGTGGCTGAAAGGGTCAACCCTTTGGCTTCCATCTGATCAACCTCCTGTTGCAGGGTTTCAGTCACAGCCCGCCATCTTGCAATCTCAGTGAAAATTAAAGAAATGTTGCCAGTTAAATAGGGTTTGTAATATAATTAAGGAAATTAGTACCAGGTGCCAAATTAACACCAATCACTTGGAGGTATCTTTTGTGATGACATTAAAGTAGCCATGGGCAGGTTAAGCTAGGATAATTTTTCTTGGATAATTGACCCAAAACAGCCTCTAGGATGTGCTGTTTCTGATGTTCTGTGACTAGAAATATCAGGACAGAACATGCCTTTATACATAATCTCAAAGCCACATAATATATGGATTGTAGTTAGAAAGCAGAAGTCTTATAGGCTGATGATACACGGGGCAACTTTTTTTGAGCAATGTTACTTGGGCACTTTCACATTGAGAATGGATAACAAATGTCTATCTGGATACTTTAGATCGGTCGTGGGCCCTGTGTCTCACCTGGTTGCCCGTTGGCGGCAACACTGCCCAAAGTTGCCGAGAAGTGTTGCTCAAAAAGTTGCACCGTGTATCATCAGCCGTAGTGTGGCCAAAAACACTGAAAGTGACATTGTGTAGGTATGTTTGTTGTTGTTTTTTAGGAGCAAATGAGAGAACAGCTTATCCACAGCAGCATGTTATTTCTGCTGCATCCAATTAACCTTCCACTAATCCAGTGGCTTGTGGAGCCAGCAGTAGATCACGGTCAAATACAGGCTATCAAAGTGTGGAAAGTCACTGTAGATGTGCATGTGAGTATCAAAGTCAGCTAAAAATAGAAGCGATAAGAGTAATAATGGTGCACACCAGTACAACTCGGATACAAAAGACCTCAGTGGATAAACGAGCATCAGCTGTGTTGAGTTTCTTGTCTGTATGGTTATGCTCATTCTTGGATGCAAGTTTGTGTTGCATGAGTTGGGGAAATATATACTGCATTGATTCCTCGGACAGTAAGATTACTGTTCAGCACATGTAACTCTGAAAGGGGAGGGAAGAATAGAGAGAGAGAGAGACAGAAAAAGACTAAGGGGATTAGACGACTTCTTTCAAAACCGTGCCCATGCCAGTCAGAGCATTTTCCGATGGAAGACTTTCATCCTCACTTTTAACTATTGGAGAATTCTCCAACAAGAGACAGATTTGATCAAAGAGCAAGTGAAGAAAAATAGTTGGGATAGTTTAGGTTTAAAAAAAACAAAAAAAATTTGAGGCTTGGGTATGTATGTTATAATCCGAAATCAAGGCTGGACTTGACTACAACTGGTTCTTGAAGAGCAGAGGATATGATATGGAAAAGGTGCATCTAAAAGATCTTTGATTTCTGGTTCCAGTGGTTTTCTTCTCTTCATACCATCAAGAACTGGTGTTTAGGATTACCGTTCATTATGTGACAGTCTCATTCTGGATCCGACGTGGTTTTTGGTTTTGTGTTCCACCTGTTGGATAGTTAAATGGTGCTAATAACTGAGAATGGTGTTGCAGGAGGTATACTTCTGGTCAAAGATCACCAACATGGCACCGGCCAAAACCGAGCGGGAGGCAGGAACAATGAAGAGTCCTCGATACAGAGCTCCACTTTTGTGGAGCCAACAGAGGACTCTTATTATGCAGATGATGAAGACCACCATCTTTATGATGATGATGATGATGATGATGACGTCTACCAAGAATTCGAGGAGTTGGACTTTTCAGAACTAGCAGATACCAAGAGCATTGTGTCAGACGATTCCTTCTACCCACCTGATGATTCGCTCAACTTTGAAAAATGTCAGATTCCTGAGAGCCCCGAGCCAGTCAGCTTCTTCAAAGCATGCTGCACTAACAACGCCATCATTGTCAAAATCATGATAAGACAAGGTGTGACAGAGGAGGAGGTACGAGAGGTGGACAAAAATAACAGAGTAAGTTTTGCTACAGTTGTGAAATGTGTATTTTCTATGCCACTAAACTGAAATGTAAAAATTATTGTTTTCCCAAACCCTGCCATTAGTCAGACAAATAGAAAGTCCCGCCCCCAAACTCACACCATTGGTTGAATCAGTGCTGTTAGTTGGGATGCTCAGTGTAGGAAGTCAAACTCTACAGCTACATATGGCTTACTTAAAGTTCTCTGCATAATATACAAAATAACATTTAAGCTTTAAATATTGTATTGATCTTTTATTATTTGCAAGAGTATAGAAGACGCACTCTAAAAAATGCTGGGTTGTTTCAACTCAACTTTGGGTCAAATATGGACTAACCCAACTTTTGGGTTAAAAATGTTATTAAAAAATTTAACCCAACAGCTGGGTTAGTCCATATTTGACCCAAAGTTGGGTGGAAACAACCCAGCATTTTTTTAGAGTGCAGGATCAAACACCAGTTGTCACTGAATATTAAGGCTCACATTCGGTTCAAAGACAACTCTGAATATATTTAATTGGTCTTAAAATGTAAAAAAAATTAATATCTAGTTAAACTAATACCTAGTTGGTCTTTGGTTTAGTACCACAGGTGCTTGAAACATTATCAGTCATAAGAATTCAACTGCAGGAATGTACTCATGCAGGAAAATCTATCATTGAGATTTCTGAATATTGGAACAACAAACATTAATTAATTTCCAGAATACATTCAATCAAACCTTGTGTTTAAATAGTACCATTCTTGACTGGCAAAAGGCCTTTCACTCCCCTTAGCTCTGAGAAGCTTACAATTATGACAATGTGGGTGATAACAGTGTCATGTTTATGCAAGGCTATTATCATATCAAAGAGTCTTTAAGCATGCATGATTCACGCAGTGCTCCTCAGGGAATGAGCTCATGCACTGAGGCTGTCTCCTTCCTCCATAAATATCGACATTGTGCTGAAGTGAGGCTGAGACTTTCATGCATACATAAATATGACTTTAAAAGCACAGTCTTAGGAAAGAAATCTGGCTTTGATGGCAACTTTAAGCAAAACATGTGCCTTCTTGACACATGATGGAACTGTGTTGAGTCTATAAATATTATATCGTAGTGATGTTTTCATTGACGACACCCACCACATAGTCAATATATGTAAATGGAATGGTCATCAAGTCCAGTAGTTTACAAGCTGCTGTCCAGGGGCCTGCAAGGTGGTGCAAAGGGGTCTGTGGAAAAGTTCAGAGAAAAAAAAAAGAAAAAAAAGAATACAGAATATAAATACAAAATAAAGAATTTCACATTATATTGTATTCCTTGTGCTTTCATGAGATTAAACACAATTCAGTAAAAAAATAAAATAAAAAGTTAAATATGTTAAAAAATATATATTTGATTTGTTTTCCCCAGTATAAATGTGACTTCATACATTAAAATATAGAGTGGCCTTTATATTTTAGGAAGAGGGTCCCTCTCAAGGGAATCATCACATTCTGTGGCATCAAAAAGTTTGAAACCCCTAGTCCAGTGTTGTTAATGTTAACTAAAACCAAAACTATTAAAAATTGTTTTTGTTAATTGAAATAAAGATGAAAAATTAATTAAATAATCACTTGAAAAAAAATTCCTTGGCAAATGCATGAAATAAGTTGAAGTACTAAAATTACTACAACTAAAACTGAAAAATTGATATTAAAGCTAAATCAAATAAAAAAAACTATAAAACAAAGCACAAAATTGCTTTCAAAATGAAAACTGAAACCATAAAAATAAAAGCTAATTCAAAGTATTAATAAATGCTATAAAATACAGCTAAAATAACACTGATAGTCTGGCTGAATTATAATACACGCACACACGATTCAAGACATTTCTAAGTCAAATATTTGTCTTGACTTGACGTCCAGTGACGTCCAGTGTTGTGACACTGATCTCCAGCTGACATCTCATGAGTCTGCACCCAGCCAGCTAAGCCCTGGAACAGATGGGAGTTTGGATTGCAGACTGAGATGCAGCCCAATCAGATCGTAATCATGCCTGAGCTTTTAAAAGGCTCATGAAGATGTCAAAATACTGCAGGGCTCTGCCTAGACAGGGATTTTTTTCTGCATGTCATATGGGGAGAAACCCTAATTTGTCCATGAAGCGCAGAACTTAAAATGTAAGCGTAATTCCACTCAAAGGAGTCTGGCTGTAGGCCATAAAAGCCTAACTTTGAATCCACCACCCATTGTCATGCTAAATTATATGTGAGAATTTAGATGACTTCCTTCCTCAATGAATCATTTGAACTCAAATTGCATTGACTACTGCTAAACGTGTCTGTCTTGCAGAAAATAATAAATGAAGCATCACCTATTGCCCCCTCCTTTGTGCCTCCGCAGTTACTGAGACCATGTCGGTATTGAAAAAGATTTGGCGCCTGGTACAAGCATTGAATTCATTAATAAACATCTTATCAGTGTTGAATGACACTCTATCTAAGACTGTATGCTTGGTCTATGACTCACTCTTAACTCAGACAGTGCAGTTTGAAAACGTAATGTTCTGAACGCAAACAGAAACAACACACGCACGGAAACAAATGGTTACTCACACGGAGACAGAAAAGGCTCTTGTTTTCCCCAAAGCAGAAGGCTCTGTGGCAGTAAAAGACATGTAGTCGTCCTTTAAGACTGTACGACCCATTTGCATGTAAATGTCTCCTAACTAACACAGGCCCTGATCATTTGTTTAATACAAATGTTATTCTACTGCCATTAGCACGGGGGAAATTATATGTGCAGCACAGTTAAACAACGCCATTAAGAACTAATATTTAATGATTCTGTTTATCAGTCTCGGGAACGATCAACCTGTTTGCAGCGCTGATAATTAAAACAGAAAAATTGGAAGGTTTTTGGTTCAAGAAACCCGCTATCTGTGGGGATGCACATCCGATAGCTTAAAGTTTTAGATTTCACCTTGAAGTTTGTATTCACCTTCACTGTTGAACTCCTGTTGATCTCGGGAAGGGGAGCTTTAGGAGGTTAGAGAGGCTTTCCTTTACAATCATCTTACGACAGCGTGGCATTTCATTTCCCTGTGAGGCTGCGTTGTGTAACCTGATACAATCCCTGTGAAGTGTCATTGGGATCTACCACTAGGTAGAAATTGCTACATCTCATATAGTAATGGCTGTTGGCCTGTAATAACCTTTATATATTTAAAAAAATAAAAAGCATTAATATTTGCAAGGGGGCCTCGGTGACTAAGAGAAGACAGACAACACGTCCTAAATTAGCTTCACATCGATTGCATTACAGCAATAATTATATTCAGTTTCTTGATATTCTGGAGTTAAGAACCATAAATGCAAGCAGACAGGCGCTCTGAGCCCAGAGGGAACTCCATACTAAATCTTAGCTAATAGTCTTTATAGGGCTTACCATCTGCCTGTAGTGCTCTATAATCACTCACAATCTGGAGACACAAGAAAACGGAACTGCTCTGTACTATTTAAGTAATGCCACTGACCTTATACATTTGTTTTTATTCCCTCATAACCCTCACTCATCTGTGCCTTTTAGATTTGCTGAATTGTTTTGAGATTTTACATATGATACTACACTCGGAGAGCGGGCCTCTCTGTGTTTGCACTGCATTTGTCTATGACTGTACAGCTGTATAGTTTGTTATGCTTGCTTGTTAGACATTGCAAAGAATATTTTTATCTTTCATTTTACTGTATTTAGATACCGCTAACTTATTAAGAGTCTAAATGACATTTTTTAATGTTAAAATACTTTCTTAAAGGGGTCATCGGATGCCCATTTTCCACAAGTTGATATGATTCTTTAGGGTCTTAATGAAAATTCTGTAACATAGTTTGGTTAAAATTTCTCGCTGGTAGTGTAAAACAACACTGTTTTTACCCTGTCAAAAACAGCTCTTTTCAGAGCAAGCTGTTTTCTTGCATGCTGCTTTAAATGCAAATGAGCTCTGCTCACTCCGCCCCTCTCTTCCGAGCTGCTCTCTGAGATGGTAAACTTTAGCCGAATTCATCGTGAAACTTGCTAACTAGCACATTATTAGGAAAGGTGATTTGAAAAGATTCATTAAAAAAACCTTACACTCACTTCTGGACGTGAAGCTGGATCACAAATGATTCGCGTGAAGATAGACGCATTGTTTGCAAAAACAAATGTAATCCACTGCGTAAATGACGACTGCTATGCTCATTATTACATCCGACAACAAAACACTTCAATCGCTTAGGAGACATTCTTGTCTACAGTACATCTGCTCCGGCGTCGAAAAACAATGGTGGCCTGATGACAGCTCACTCAGGGCGGGTCTAATGTAAGACACCAGTCCAGTCTGTGCTGAAATGCTACTGTCAATCAAACTATAGTGGGAGGGGCCGGTCTGTGTGACGTCACACAGACAGGCATCCGAGATCGGCTCGATTTGAGAAAGGAGAAATGATTTAACGAGATTTAAAAAAAAACACTGGGTGAATCTTTATCATTATAGGGTAGTTGTGCACACGCACTGCCAACACACATTTCAGTTCAAACAGCTTGTAAAAGTGCATGTGGCATCCGATGACCCCTGTAATACTTGTTATGCAAAAAACAACTATAAGTCATTAACTAGATTTTGCTCAAACATGTAAACAATGTGGCGCTTTCAAAACATTGTTTGTTTGAGTGACACACACATACTCAAACGTACACTGGTTTAACCAATGGCATGCGTTTGAAGGTGGGGTTATCTCATGTCCAACCAATGGAAAATATAACTTATGAAATAACTTATAAAACTTTAAAGACAGACCTACTGGGAGCTACAAGGTTGTTAAAGTTATATGCTTTTGTTGATGCCATCAGCCCACAATATTTCAATGTGTGTATATCTATCTATCTATCTATCTATATCTATATATATATATATACTTGTTATAGCACTTGTATATCATTGCTCTTTTGTTGATTTTGATTGCTTTCATTGTCCTCATTTGTAAGTAGCTTTGGATAAAAGCGTCTGCTAATGAAACAATTAACAACCAAATGAGAACAAAATAGCTTATAACTCTTGAATGATAACCTTTTAAAATTCCAATGGGAAAAATATGGCACACTTTAATATAGGGACCTATTCTCACTATTAACTAACTATTAACTATGACTTTTGCCTCAATAAACTCCTAATCTGCTGCTTATTAATAGTAATTAAGGTAGTTGTTAAATTTAGGTAAGGGGTACAACGAAGGGATCTAAAATATGGTCGTGCAGAATAAGGCATGTGCTTCATAAGTACTAATAAACAACCAATATGCTAGTAATAGGCAACTAGTTAATAGTGAGAATTTGTTCCTAAAGTAAAGTGTTACCAAAAATACTTCCAGAAGCAAGCCCCCTGAAAACATGGGGAGGCACTGTTGCACACTCTATGCTTTTTGCACACTAACCTATAAAATATGGAAGTATGCATATTCAAACTCGGGAGGAAAATCAATTATTTTTGCAAATTTGCACTTAGTATAAATAGACAATTTGTTCATTTTTATTTTATTTGAAAATGTATTTTAGAATGTCTCACTTCACCTGTAAAACCCATAGAAATATGCAGTAGTGACAGTAGTGACTAACTATACTTACCAGTCTAAATATGCTTCTGCATTTACTCTGAAGATCATGAGCTCATCAGCCTCATAAATAAGGCCACTCAACCCAGGTCTCTCCTACCCTCAGAGTCCCTCCAGAGATGGATGTGGAAACTCACCCTCCAACAATCCCTACCCTTAAATTAATGTTTATATAGTAGGGTTCAACCACATAAATGCCTCTGCAGTTTGCACGTTAAACACTTTCTTCAGCAGTAATGATGGACATCCAGGAAAATGACTTGAGATGACTCATATTTATCCTCTCCACTGCTCAACAGACGGGTCTGATAGTGGCATGTTACCAGGGCTACGTGGATGTGGTCATTGCACTTTCTCAGTGTCCATATGTGGATGTGAACTGGCAAGATAACGAAGGGAATACGGCTCTCATGACTGCTGCACAAGCAGGTAAGGGAAGTGATGCAATTCAGCTATCAAAGGCAATAAAATTACAATCAGCAACTCCCAGTAGATCCCCCTGGGCCTTTATTTGGCTGTTCTATGAAACAAGAGCCAGTGCATTATCCTTTATCATACTTGGGGTTAGTCGTGATGAAACAGAAGTAGCAACAAATATGTTCTTCAGTATTGGGGCATATATCCCTAAGTGAAAATTATTATTGAAAAGGAAAATAAATTAGGGCGACGTCTTGGTTCAGGCAGGAGGCAGATCTGAATGCGAGTTTGCAGTAAATTGTAAGAAAGGGACTAAATGATTGGAGATTATCATTTTGATGAAAAATTATGAGGTATAAAAAGAAAAGAAGCACATGCATAGATTAACAATTCGGAAAAATGTAAAAAAAAAGCATTATGAAAATAGAGAGGGTGAAATTTCATTTCATGCCAGCTTTAAGGATTTGAACATACCCCAAACTTAAACTTCAGCAGTGTTTGTTACAGAATCACATCAAATCATGATTGTTCAGGAGAGATATGTGATTACTTTTCAAAGGACCAAATTTAGATGTTTTCCTCAGGAACACTTAAAAGAGAGAAAAAAAAACCTATACACCGAATGAATGAAGGAACATGTATAGGGACTAGAACATTATAAACTTATAGTATTATAAACTTATTATAAAACACCCTAGCAACCCCATACAAAGATACTAAAAAAGCTTCATAGAAACGCCCTGACAACCCATTGTGGCAGTAACTTTTGCATGGGCTGGCAGTTTAAATGGTTATATCTGGTTAATACTGTTTATATTGCATCTGTATTTCTGAAGCTCAAACAGTGGATCACGGAGATCATGGGTTCGATTCTCAAAGAATGCTTGAACTCATAATATTACTTTGAATAAGTGTCTGCCAAATGCATAAATGTCCTTCTGAATTATAGGCCACAGTATGATTACCAACTACCTGCTGAACTATTTTCCCGGGCTTGACACTGACTGCAGAAACTGCCATGGCTTCACTGCGATGATGAAAGCAGCCATTCAGGGTCGAGCTGAATGCGTACGGTCTCTCATGATGACAGGTATCATCAGCTGAAAAATTCATATGGATTCCTAATTCAGTTCAAGCATACGTAATAATCTTTCATTTTGTTCCTCAATTGTGAGCATTAATTTTCCCTCACAAGACCTATTGTCTGATGTTTTTCCTTATGCAGGAGGAGACATTGAAGCAAGGGACTTTGGCCGTAAGTTGACTCCACGTGAATGGGCCCTGTTTACGGGCCGCTACGAGACCGCCAACCTGATGGCCCGACTGATGGAACAGCCATGTGCTGGACAGTTCTGTGACTCTTACCACATGGAGTGGCCTATGCTAAGCAAACTGGTGGCTCATTCAAAGGAGCCCAAGTCCTGCTGGAGAAAGTTCTCCGAGTGCATCTGTAACTTGTTTACCATCAGCATGAAGACCAACCCTTTGGATGAAGGCGTCATGGACTACATGGTGCGCATGACCACAGCTCTTGCCAGCCCGTTCATAGCCACCGCCTGCCACACCGTGTGTCCGGGCAGCCCTCCGTGTGTAGGAAAACGTCGCCCTGCTGTCCAGGACATCCTCCGTAGACAGCGTCTGGCTGAGCTGAAGAACCTTGGGCCCGAGCGCCTCAACAACTACAAGCGGCTCTTCCAGAACTCCAGGGTGCTGCTGGTGCCGAAGAAGCAGGAGCGGCGTGCCAGTCTGCAGCCGCAGTTACTGCACAGCGTTGCAATGGCCTCCACCATGGCCCTGAGGAGAAGCAGCCTACTGCCGCTTCACATGATGCGCAGGAGCAGCGTCCGTCCTGGGATGGTGGTTCCTAAAGTCATGCTGTGCAAAGCACCTCCTCCCACATACATCCCGGAGCGACCGCCACGCAGGACTTCAAAAGACTCACCACACATACAGATACCTAAATGGAAGTACAAAGTTCTAAAGGAGGAGAAGAAGAAAGCTGAACGCATGGAAAGGTTGAGACTGCCTACTGGGAGGAAAAAGTGATGTGGCTTTTGATGCCTTAGTGTTTTTAAGGAAGTTTTCCACTGTGAAGGCTTGTGGTCAGTGTGAGGGTCGGGAATACTCATCGTACACTACTCTTATAGACTGCTATGGAGTGTAGCTCCTCACTTTTATAATATTTGCTCTTACTGATATAGAATTTGTAAGTTGTAATGGTTCTAATTTATAGAAACAACTAACATATTTAATGCGTAGTTTTTTTGGTTCATTATCTCGAGCCAAGTCATACTTGAAAGTTTATGCAAACTAAATTCTATTTTTCATATTGCTCTCAAAGACTCAAAGAACTTTTAACAGGGAGTGTTATATAAAAAAGCTGCTAAAACATCAAACATAACAATGAAGGACTTTCATAACAATGAAATACTATATTTGGCCTGGACATGTTGTCTTCTCTTACCTTACCTTATCTCTTTGAAGGTTATTAATCCAGTAGGCCTATTATTGAGTCTGCATTACAAAACTTTGCTTGTTTTGTTGACATCCTAAGATATTCACACAGAGGATATTTCTTGTGTGACTTCAGATTTATTACCATATCATAGGTAAATAACGATTACTAATAACATTTGCGGTGAAACTATTTGCGCTTCAAACCTATGAATGAAAAGTAAAAATAATGTAAAAATGACCAGTTTGCAATATCAAGCACCATAACAGACTGTTTTTTTACAGTTTAAATAACTGGAACGCACAAGGCTTTGTCAGACACTTTTTTTCAATGTGAAAGTAAGCCGTTTTCTGTGAATGTGCGAGAGATCCGGTTCATTAGCCGCTGTATAACGAGAACAATAACAACGTGCAGTAAACAGTAAAACAGTTTGCACTACAAAGTGTGTTCGTAATTAAGATAATACATTAAAATAATATGGTAAGACACACCAGTTTGCAAAACAAGTTGTTTTGTACAGCTAAAAATAGCTGGAAGGGAATGACAGCGGAAGCTATACCCATAAAATTTACAAATGGGCGCGGGAGAAATAAGGTGGATAGGATTTTATACGTGTCTAGGGTGCTTTAACACTTGGTTCGATTGTCTGGTCTGAACCCGAGTTTGGCGCTGCATCCGAAAACTTAGGCAGCTGACTTGCTGCCGTATGAGGCAATGACTTTGTAGGCAGCGTTTTTGCACGAAGGTACCTCATGAAACTGATTTCGGACAGGCTTCTGAGGCAGCGTAACGGTTTAATGATCTACAACAAAATATAACAAGTTTTTGTGATAACTAAACGAATATTTAATTACTACAATACTGATTTCTTGCTAGAATTAACATAAAAAGTGCAAAAAGTTTGTCAGAAATATACATTTACACACAAACTTACCACCAACCTCAACTTTCAGACGCCATCTTTATATATTTTTTTAGCTCAACCGTCAGGGCATGGAACGCACAGGATTGTGGGATATCAAAGGCAGCAAATGATACATCTATGCTGCCTTCAAAATTCGATCAGAAGAAGGTACCTCCGGAGACAGGAATAAAGGCAGAATTTGGATTCAGACGTGCCTTCCTGCCTTGGAATGCTGCCTCCGAAGGCAGCATTTTATAGTTTTCGGACGCAGCCGGGAGCCTCCCCCACCCCAGCAGCCGTCTACCTCGTTGCTTAGTAACGACGGCGCAGGAGAAGGCGTCAAAATGTGTAGCTTTGCTCTCTCCTCTTTTTAAAACTCGGGTTCGGACCAGGCAATCGATCCAAGTTTGAACCGATCAGTCAGTTTACTCCTGTTCAAAGTGGGTGTTGAATTAGGTGTCATAATGAAACGATTCAAATGTATTCCTAAAAAGTAAACTCACTAGACGTTTTGAACCGCGCCGGTTCGTTTAGCCGGCCCTGGCCCGGTTGGAAGAGGTGGGCCAGGGCCCGGTTCGGTTGGGCTCGGGCGTGGTACGCATGCAGTGTGAGCGCTAACCGCGCCGGAGCGCCGAACAGATCCTATTTTGTGTGCGCTGCTATCATCATTACGACCGCAAACATGTTCTATTACTACTACTACACTACACTTTTCAATAAATATAATTCAATCAAGTATATTTAGGTTTATAATGGCTCTGGTTCTTACCTTATTGATGAACAGGAAATGTTTGCGAGTAAAGCTGCAAATTATTTCATTAACCTCAGCTGTCTCCGTAATAATTTTCTGATACATACAAGTGAAAATCAATGCACGGCATAAATTAATTATTAATTATTCGCAGAATATTAGCGAAAGTGGTTTTCTCCGTTATTTCATATCGGTTGGGCTCGGGCGTGGTACGCATGCAGTGTGAGCGCTAACCGCGCCGGAGCGCCGAACAGATCCTATTTTGTGTGCGCTGCTATCATCATTACGACCGCAAACATGTTCTATTACTACTACTACACTACACTTTTCAATAAATATAATTCAATCAAGTATATTTAGGTTTATAATGGCTCTGGTTCTTACCTTATTGATGAACAGGAAATGTAGTTTGCAAGTAAAGCTGCAGGTTATTTCATTAATGTCAGCTGCCTCCATAATAATTTTCTGATACATATAAGTGAAAATCAATACACGGCATAAATTATAAATTAATTATTAGTAATTATATTAGCGAAAGTGGTTTTCTCCGTTATTTCATACATGACGTAAGCGTGCTCCGGCCAGGAAAGTCAGGCGCGGCACGTTTAGTCGCGAACCAGGGCCTGGCCCGGCCCGGTTCGGTTGGGCTCGGGCGCGGTACGCATGCCGTGTGAGCGCTAACCGCGCCAGAGCACGGAACAGATACTATTTTGTGTGCGCTACTGTCATCATTACGACCGCAAACATATTCTATTAGTCCTACACTACACTTTTCGCGATAATCGCGCTCAAGGCAACCGTGCCTAGTTGCGAGTACACCCTAAAAAAGAAATACAGGCTACTATAAGTCTGAGATAGTCTAAATAGGTTTAGATTTGAAATCTGCGTTGGATAAATTGGACAAATATCAATCATAAAGATGTCAAATGATGTGTTGAAATCCTTTAATAACAAAGCAGTTTAAAAGGGGTGCATCTGCACCAGCAATGCAGAGTGAAATGGGTAGTAAACTTCCAGTAGGGGTCAGTATTACATCTAGGCTCATGTTCCCAAAATATACAGTCCAAACATGTGGCCATATCCGCTCTCAAAATGCATTTTGCAATCTAACGCGCAATTACATTAGCAATAAAAACAAAACAAAAACAAAATTCACATCACACCATGACCACATTTCTTTGCATCAAACTGGATTAATACTTTCTTACAGCATTGCTGAGATTGAAATTGATGAGATTGGACGTGGAGGGCCTGGTGTTTCAGAGCTGCAGGGTTGTCGTTTAGCGCCTGCCACACGTAGACTGCAGACTGGTTTTCAGGACAAAGTGAGAAGCACATAGCCTGTCAATGTCAAAATATCTCTCTGTGGGAAAATGGTAATGAACCAGTCATGATGAACCCCTAACATGAGCTCGCAGCTTGCCTGCCTGGCCTCTGATAGCTATCTAGGAATTCCATCAAAAATACAATGAATAGGAAAGTCAGGCGCGGCACGTTTAGTCGCGAACCAGGGCCTGGCCCGGCCCGGTTCGGTTGGGCTCGGGCGCGGTACGCATGCCGTGTGAGCGCTAACCGCGCCAGAGCACGGAACAGATACTATTTTGTGTGCGCTACTGTCATCATTACGACCGCAAACATATTCTATTAGTCCTACACTACACTTTTCGCGATAATCGCGCTCAAGGCAACCGTGCCTAGTTGCGAGTACACCCTAAAAAAGAAATACAGGCTACTATAAGTCTGAGATAGTCTAAATAGGTTTAGATTTGAAATCTGCGTTGGATAAATTGGACAAATATCAATCATAAAGATGTCAAATGATGTGTTGAAATCCTTTAATAACAAAGCAGTTTAAAAGGGGTGCATCTGCACCAGCAATGCAGAGTGAAATGGGTAGTAAACTTCCAGTAGGGGTCAGTATTACATCTAGGCTCATGTTCCCAAAATATACAGTCCAAACATGTGGCCATATCCGCTCTCAAAATGCATTTTGCAATCTAACGCGCAATTACACTAGCAATAAAAACAAAACAAAAACAAAATTCACATCACACCATGACCACATTTCTTTGCATCAAACTGGATTAATACTTTCTTACAGCATTGCTGAGATTGAAATTGATGAGATTGGACGTGGAGGGCCTGGTGTTTCAGAGCTGCAGGGTTGTCGTTTAGCGCCTGCCACACGTATTTATACTGCAGACTGGTTTTCAGGACAAAGTGAGAAGCACATAGCCTGTCAATGTCAAAATATCTCTCTGTGGGAAAATGGTAATGAACCAGTCATGATGAACCCCTAACATGAGCTCGCAGCTTGCCTGCCTGGCCTCTGATAGCTATCTAGGAATTCCATCAAAAATACAATGAATTGAAAACTCACGCTTCTGTTACAATCTAACAGAAATCTGTTATAATATAATCTGTTATATATACAATAAATGCAGTTGACTAAATCGGAACAAAATACATGGGGGGGGGTCAGTGGTGTTAAAAAACATATTTTTTAATATGTGGATGTATAATGTGGATATATATTTGAAACCAAGTCTGGTGGTAAAACTGCATACCAATGTCAGATTCATCCAAAGAAAACCCCAATAAAGGAAGAAATGACTCAGACACAGAACAAAATAAATCACAGAACAGTGATTCTCCATTAGTTTATATAGCAGTTGCAACCTGGCATTAAAAAGGTTCACAATTCTCTCAAACACTTTGTCTAGCAACAGAAAAAAAGTTTTACTTACATCTTTAATACAAGTTGTCTGATATGTCTAATTTTTCACAGATATTTTGCTTGTTCTCAGACATTCACTATGGTGCTGAAGATATGTGATTTGGGGATCATCCTGAATCCTTGCATCTGACAATTACCTCTAAGTGTAAAATGACATGAAGGGAAGACCAGGGCTTGCTTTATACCTTCCTGAAATCTGACAGACTTAATGTTTAAGGTTTGAAAATCACAAAAAAATGATAGGGTATTGTCATTTTTTGTTCTCCGTATAGGTCAGTAGAGGAATGTTCACCCATCTTCTCCTGCAATAAGATGACCTGAGATAAGGTATAGGCAATTACCTAATAGAGAGAGAAAAAAAATTTAAATCAAGAGGTGCATCTATACGCACAGCTCTCCTTCTAGAGCATAGGTTGTGTAGGAATCAAAGCCATTAATTTTAGTGGCATCCATTTTATTAAGGACATGAAACACATTCAAAACGCATTAATAAAAGGTAGTAATGCAGGCCAAAAGGTGTTAAAGCATTGTTTTAGCACCTTTTCAAGTCAATATTAGAAGCTAGAAGATCATCACATCTGCCCTCACTGAGCCCTGGTCTCGCCTGGTTTATACAGCAACAACATGACAATAGGAGGTCAACATCTGGATTAGAAATTAAGGTGAACAAAAAACCCTATGCTTTTTTTTAACTAGCATTTTTTCCTTGCAATGTTTCTGCGTTAGGTGACATCCACATCTGCACATAAAAAGTATATATATATTTTGTATTTATATAATATATATCCATACTCTATTGACAGATCTGTCTACAACGATCTTAAGAACCACTGATTTTCTGGAAGAAAAAAAGCTGATTTTGCAAATGTCTATTTTACAACATAGCATCAACTAATTGTACATCTTTGGAGGAGAAGTAGCAGTCAAAGACCATGTCCCTCCTTGTTACAGTGTGAATGCTGTCGAAACACATAAAAAAAAAAGCATTTACAAATGGGCGTTGATAGAACCAGTGACGTAGCTTCAACAGCAGCTCTACAGCACCTCTTGGGTCAGGGATTACTACATTTGGCACATAACTAAGCACAGATCACTCAATGGCTTGTGGAATGACCAGTCTTCATGTCAGTACAGTTGGGGAAATAAGAGAGAAAAAAATTGACAGATAGGCCTGAAATTGTTCTTATTATTGGTGGTAAACTCTGTCCAGGCAGTGATGCTCTGTTGTCAGTTAAAAGTAGTTTTCTCGCATAGAAAATGGGGGGGACACAGAGCAAACAACACTTCTGAATGATATGCTTTCTGCTGCATTTCATACCCATCGAATAGGATGCTGGAGTTCAGTGAGTGTATTTTCCTCTCGCTCAAAATACAGGAAAATAAAACGATATATTGAGCCACATGGGAGGACACGGTAGTCTTTGCGTAATATACACAATGCACCTTGTATCTACATCTGTAATATACAACAAGTACTTTACACCAGACTTAAGAAGTTAAAAAGGAGGTACAAAAACAAGCAAATAATAAAAAGAAACCAAAAAAAGATATAAAGGCTAAGAGTGTAACGGAGCACTCCATAAAAAGCATGGTTTAACATAAAGAAATGTCAACAAATGTGTGAAAACTATTTCCTTAGCTTGTGTCGAATGTCGTTTTCTTGTGCTTCACGTAACTGTCCCATCTCTGCGCCACAAATCTTCCGCTTTCCCGCTGACATGTCAATTCCCTCCACTGCTTCGAAAAACACCAAAGTTCAAGTGGTCCTTTCTGTAAAACTTCTTTCCTAAATCCTCTCTCTTCAAGCACTTTCCTAACCTCGCCTCACTGGCTGGCAGCCCACTGTGGTGCGAGCAGTGAACCGAACTGAAGGTTTACGTGTGTGAGATGTCTACTAGTGTTCATGCACATGCTGGGCTGGTCTCTGTGTATGGTATCTGTAGGCCAGCCTCCAGCCTGCCTCTGTGCCTCTACACCCAAGAGTCCGGCGAGGCTGGGTAGTGGCTCGTCTCGTAGTTGAGTTCACTGTATGGGCGGGATGCCGAATAAAAGTCCACGTAGTTCCCCGTGGACTTCAGTCCCAGGTGCATGGTGCCGTCAGCGGTGGGTGGGGGGCGTTTATGCGCTTGGTCCTCGTAGTACGGATCCTCGAAGTTGGCTCCTGGGGGAGTCTGGAAGGGAGGGTAGGCCTCTGGAGGGTTGCCTTGAGCGGAGACCTGACGAAAACAATGAGAGCGTAAGGGCTGCTTTGGGAAGGGATATAAATGTGTTATGCGGTAGTTCAGCAACTAAGAATATAATTTACATTTCAAATCATGCATTTTCCGTGTAATAAAGTTAAAAGGCAATGAATATAATGTTATATAATAGGTACTTCATCTAAACCAGTGTTTTTCATCTTAGGCACCCCACAGTGCCATCAAAAAGAATCAAGTACTTCATCCACACCAAACCAGAAATGTGTTCATTTGAACTGGTAATACACTGGATCATTTCACATTATGATTAATATAAAGTAATTTAATATAAAGTCTACTTGGTGTGGAAAAACATAGACTTAATAAATGGCAAATATATTCTTCTCTTCTTCTAAATTTCATCCAGACAATCATAGTTTCTTTCATAGAAAAGAACTGAAAAAAAAGTTTAATTGGCTTGTCATTTTTAAAACATTTTTTTAACCGTTGACAGCCTTATATTTTAAAGTTACAATTTCCAAAAAAGAAAGAAAGAAGAAACCGAAATCTTTCTAAATACCCCAGGAACCTACTAAAAGGTGCGTATCCTTTATGTATAACAACTGACAAAATACAATAATTTATACAAATATAAATAATATTAAGAAATAAGAGAAATAAATATATAGATATAATAATAATATGCAGATATATTTTATTTTAACATTATTATATTCATAATATAATAATTAAAACAGTCACCTTTAAAAAAACATTAAATAGACAAAAACATTTCCCCCTTTTTTGACACATGAAAATATCAAGATAAGCTACACAATACAGCTCTGTATGATATGTGCTGAACTCACCTGGTTATGCTTGATGTCATCGCCAGGAGACATGTAAGCACCTCTGAACAGTGTAGATGTCCCACTGGAGATTTGAGCTGCAGAGACAGTGAATTATAAAGACTCTAAGAAGACTGGTAGGCACTTTGACTTTTTTATAGGTAAAGAGAATGTTGACATGAAACAGGTTTACAGATATATGAATTACAGTTCATGACTTTTGTTGAGGTAAAAAACAAAGGTGAGATATCAGACACCTTTCTGTGGAATAAACCTGTTACACTGTTACTTTTACTTATTACACCTCTCACGTAATTCACTGCCTTTGTTTAGGGTATATTTGATGGTTTGTCTGGAAATCATTGTTGACTGTCAGTCATTTGGCGGTGGTTATTTGGAAGCTTTAACTTTGTGCTGTAGGCCTTACCTGCCATGGCGTCTTTTCTGGAGGTGTGCTCACCCTTGTTTCCATGGTAACCAGAATTGGTTCCAGTTGACTCATAGTCTGTCTTCCTTTCCTTCAAGCTCATCATTTCTCGAGGGGAGGTGGGGGCACTTGCTAAAAAACACAGCAAGTCAACCAATAATGAGTGAGGGGGGAAAACAGCCTGTTTGTTTAGGCGAAAGTATCTTGGCACATTAGAAAGTACAATAAGATCTCATTCCATCAAGGGATGTTTTATTTTACATAAAAAACTCATTTACTGTAATGAAGCAATTCTCTTGTTGCCTTTTGAGGCAAACAAGTGTCAGTGCGCTACTCCTAATTGCTAAATGGAATTGGTCAGGTAATTGATTGGTTTTGTCTGAGCTTCTTTCTCGTTCCTTCATCAATAATTTATTTCACTTTTCTTGTCAGTTTTGTGTTTGGAAAAGCGTTGCTTGGCTTAAATAAAGCTGTCTATATGATTTCTGTCAGGAAGTGAGATCCAAGTATTAATAGATACTTAATAGAAAAGTAGATATTAATAGAATAGCATCACTTAACAAAACCATTTATAAAGGTGATTAACTAAATATTATATTAACCGATTACTGCATAGTTCATGCACATTCAAACTGAAAACATAAATCAAAGTTTACAAAATTATATTATATTATGTTTTAAATAATAAATATATGCATTTGTTGGAGAGGAAATTTGACAACACAAAATATTACATAACTGTCGACATTTTTGTAAAATTGCAATAATTTTCACCCAGTAAATAAAAAATGGCTTTCATGAATTTTCATATAGTTTCAAAATCGAATAAGGGCAAGGGTAAAACAATAACATCTATAGATAGAAGGCTACTGAAAGGTATCAAAATATAATAATAATAAACAAGTTTACAGTTTTAATGTGACCTTTAAATAACAAAAAGCAAAATGAAATTTAATGAAACCCTTGGGATATACAAGTGAAGCGCCCACAGTTGAAAAAAATACCCAATAACATCCTCAGTAATTCAAGAAAAGATTATTTTACAACACAGCATTTCATTATGCCAGAAAGAGATACTTACATGTCATCATTTAATTATTTGGGTGTTAATGAATCAGCTCTTGAGGACAGATTCTGTGTTTTTGCTCTTTTCAGCTTTGTTGGCTGGTATACAGACTACCCTAGATGGCCATCTTACTTGCAAATGTATTCATTTTCATTTCCCAGAGAAATGACAAATTGCACAATTAAAAGGTGTGAGATTCTCTTTTGGGATAGTTCCCCACCACACCCTCCCGAAGAGCAGGTAGAGTAAATATGCCCCCTCTTTGTTTGTCCCAAGATATGTGAGGACATTATGAGCATTTAATATTCAGGTTGCCCCTAGACTACATTTAAATAAACAATGATAATCCTGAATACTGGAGATGATGTAGCAATATTAATGCATACATAAAATGAGTTCAAAAGCATAATCTACCAAAATAAACTTTGATATCTGAAACACAACTAGAGAACAGACAGTGCCTGCTGTCTGACAAAGCGTGTTAATTAAGCAGAACATACTCTTCTTGACTAACTGTACAGTACTGTATTCTCCATCCTGCTGCCATCAGTTGGAAACGGACAAATATCAGGATGTACCCTGATGTTCCCTCTATGATCACATAACGGCATAAGCCACACATTTTTTAAATCTCCCATTAATGTACTATTTTAGGATTAGTCATTAGGAATTCTCCAACAACCGACTAGTTGATTAATGAGGTCAACTTGTTTTAGATGCTTTAATTAGTGCACTCTCTGGCAAATGTCATGTCTTTTTTGAGTACTTGAGTATTGTGGTTAGTTAATAGTTCATTGTGTTTTAAGACCCTGGTGTTCTGTTCCATCCTGATGCTCATCTGAAACCATTCTATAATACAGACTGATTAGTTGAATAGGTGTTCATGCAACCCACTGACTACGTGATTTTGAAAATAAATCAGTTTTGATCATTTCAAGTACTTTTTTATTCCTCTAATCTACTCCTGAGGAGATAAAGATGTTGATGATAGAGTGCAAAGGAAATGTCAATGATATTACTTGTTGTCAAAATGGAGGAAAGTGGAGCGGCTCTCACCTGATCGATTATTGGACGAGGTCCGCACAGGAGAGATAGATGGAGTGCGAGAGGAGGAATAAGGTCGTTGTCTGTCTCTCTCAATTGTAGATGAAGAGCCAACAAAGTGATACTGAGAATAGCCATCCTGTCATAAAAATAAGAGGAGCACGACCATCTGTTAATTCTGAAACTTCACTCATTAAAACCTTCTGGTTACAAGTATATGATAGACACAGAAAAGAAAAAAAAAGATTTTCATGCATTTGAAACTGAATTCATTTAAAAAAACTCAGATCAGATAAACTAAAGCCTCTAACTCCAGCAAAAAGCCTCTAACTCCACTGATGCCCATTTAAAAGTAGATAGGTGCAAATGTAATAGATGTGAGAACAGCAAGGTCTTCTGAATTTTTTACCTTTTTATAGAGGCTTCGCAAATCTCTGTACTGCCACATGCTGTTGAGAACTTGAGACGCCGCTTTCACCACCTTTGGTGTGTGTCTGTAGGGAAACATAGAAGAGAAAATGAATACAACACATAGCACTATCTGCAATAATATAATATAATACAAGCAATATAAGTGAATGTTCAGTTTCTAATCCATTTCTGGGGCTGCTAATATAATGGATTGCTTCATAATGTTTTTTGAGTGCAAACTAAATAAAACCCTGTGGTACAATACAAAAACTTTAAAGAAAGTACTTTCTCAGCTATATAAACAAACAGTGTTGGTAGACGTGGACTATAAATATCTCAGTAAAAATTCATTTTAGTTCAGCTCAATTTGTGCACAGATTTCTCTAATGGTGTTAAATTCTAACATACAAAATAAGCTCTAATGGGAACCATAAATACTATAACATCTATAGCAAATGCTATGGAGATGAGTTGGTTTATTTATACTACTCTACTGTTCAAAAGTTCCAAAATGTTTCTGAAAGAAGTAGTCTTGCAATATAACTCCTAAAGTGGAATTGCTTAAGTAGTTTTTCATTTTTCATAATAAAGAATAAGAGATGTACTGAATGGAAGGTTCGGCATGTCCTCTTTCTTTATAAAAAAAATTATTTCCTTTTAAATATGCCTAATTCTATGGGATATAACAGGGTAAAATTTGTCTACACACTCTAATTGATTGTGATCATGTTACAGAATACTAAGATACTAACTTGTCTCCTTTGCTGCGGGCAATGCCGATGAGTTTCTCAATGCCGCCTGCATCACGAAGAGCCTTGGTGTTCTCCATGTTCTTGGTGATGACTTCATGCAGAGCACAGCAGATCGCAGTGATGGTGTCATCGGACATGCTCTTGCTGGTGCCGCCGGTGCCAGTACTGTTGTTATTGTTGCCCCCCGGTAGCCGATGGACCAGATCCCTCATGGCATACTTGCCTGTGGGTTGCGTGAATGAGATGAACCAAAAAGAAAAGTCAGAGAGGAGGTGTGACAACCAGAGGCCCTTTCAAAGATGTAGATTTTGGATTTAGATTCTACCATCGGCATGCAGAGCTCTTTAAGTGCGCTGAACCTGAAGGCTGCAACAACTGCAGAACTAAAAATGCCAAAGCGTCCGATACACCCACATCACTACCCAGCAGCTCTATTACACTTAACGTGACCACAAAGACCCATTCCCACCAGGGAGCTAATTCTCTCTGCAACGACCTGTGCTACAAAACTGCTTTCAACCGGTATGTATCGAAGTTACATAAAAGAAAGGTTCCCATGAGCTCTTGCAGCTGATTTCCTTAAATAATAAAGGACATTTGAACAGCTATATCTGAAATGAGCCTGCAGGATCAGTATTCCAAGAGCGCTGCTGTCTCGACATTTGTACAGTTTTATGCTGCTCCTCTTGCCCTATATTCCAAAAGAAATGCACACGCCTTCGAACTCACGCACGGCCAAGACCAGACTGAAAGAGTGCGAGCGGTTGCCATGGAGACAAGGGGGCACATCAGAATACACAAAGTATTAAAAAGATCAATAGTCTGTTAGTGTCGTGAGCAGCTTTTCAAACAATGCCACCTCGCCTCACTGCAATACCTGACTAGAAATGCTACATAGATGCCCTCGCTGATACACACATAACAAATACACACGCTCACAGATCTTGAAGTAATTTAAGGGTACACATACCTCTGCGGCATTCGGCTCTGCTGGAGAAAATGTTAGCTTGAGGCAAACATACTACTGTGTCCCAAACCTACCTATGAGCTCCTTGTTCCTGACATCAAGGGCCATGTTTCGGAGAGCTGTGGCCACAGCGCACACAACCCGGTCATTGTCTATTCTCAGCAACTCCACCAGAATGGGCAGTCCTTTCTCTTTCCGAACTGCAGCACGGATGTACACCGACCACTTCAGGCACAGGAAATGGAAAAAAGGGTCCCGCAAAATGATTATCAACACATCAGCTGAACAGAAACAGAGGCGCTGGAATGAGATTTTGATGTCAACATTGCATGAAATGTCAATTTAGATCATCGCACTGTTGTTTGTTTCACTTTTCTGTAAAGAATGAGCAGAAAATGAGGACAACAGAAGATTCTGAAGTGCAAAATTGCTCAATTTGACACAGAATATTTGAGTCATTGTCTACACTTTCAAGACTTCGAGTGAGAATTCAACTCTCTACATTGTATCCATTTGAAGATGTAAGTTTGAACCCGTCAGCTATCTTACACTGGTTGTGTACACTCAAAAGAGACTTTGTTCTCAATATAAAGTTCACTGTGTTCTCCAAGTTTGTATTCGACATCTGTTTGCTGTTTGTAGAACTCCATGACCTTGACAGACAAAACTGAAGTATGAATGTGTATTTGTGCCAGTCATAATGGTGATGGGTGCCAGAGCCAGTTTGTTTGGTTCATGGCTCTTTGGGTGCAGGGTTACTCACAGGTTTTAAGGTGGGGCCTACCTTCCAGCTACCCGCTGCCAGGTTCTGTAGAGCCCCAGCCGCTCCCTCCAGCGTGTCCGGGTTTGAGCACTCAGACAGAAGAGTGAGGTACGGTTTTACTATGGACGGGTGCCATAGCATCTGCAGTCCCTTCGGAGGGTCACTAGAGTCTGGGAAAGGCCCAACACCATCCCACTGAAAGCAGAGAAAGAGTGAGCGTTATTACACAGTGTAACTATTAAGAAAAGAATCATACACAAATGCATTCCACAAAGGAGGTGCACAACCTTCATTAAATATAGATCATCAGCCTTGCTTTAGTATATTTTCTATATATCAAGTTTGCAAACTTGTTAGCAAAATATGTGATACTTAACCCTGAATTCTGATGGGTTTTGTTTGTGATTTTGTTATTTTCTAGCAATAAAGCAATAATAGTTCAAAAGAACAGCAGTTATTTGAAATGGAAATCTTTTTTGGCATTATAAATGTCTTTGCTGTCACTTTAGATCAATTTAATGCATCTTTGTTGAATAAAAGTATAAATTTTGTTCGGGGAAAAAAAAAAACTTGCTGATTCCAAACTTTTGAACAGTAGTGTATGTTTTTTTTACAACAATAAACTAAATATCAGCAAAAATTATGGCACTGTTGTATGGCTTAAATTGCTAGATACAGTTAAGATGGGACAGGCCAAAAATCACAATTTAAAGAGGACAAAGGGGGTTTCACAACAAAAAACATGGGATTTGTGCCAATGTGTAATGGGACACCAAACTGTACTCTATTCATGGAAAGTGCCAGCTATTTTATTTTTTGGCCAATTTTATTAATAAGCACAGAGCAGAGCCATCAGGAAATGATGGTGAGAAGAGGGGGAAACAGGACTGGGCAATGTCACGAGCCAGACTACAACTTGCCTGCATGAGCACAACAGCTCAATGTGGAATGTACACTGATGAGCTTACCATAGTACGGAATTCATATACTATAGTATTTACATGGCACTCCAAGGTAATTTAAAGAATACCATTGTATTCATTGGAAATAACATGGTACTTTTTTGCTGCATACTGAAATATTTGAAGACAAAGCTCACTAGTTGTTTAGGGCAGGGGTTTTCAAACCTCTCCATGCAGTACCCCCAGCACTGCACGTTTTGTATGTCTCCCTATATCTGACACACCACTTCAGGTCTTGCAGTCTCCACTAATGAGCTAATGAGTTGAATCAGGTGTGATAGATGAGGGAGACATACAAAATGTGCAGGGCTGGGGGTACTCCAGGACAGGTTTGAGAACCACTGGTTTAGGATACAGAGTAATTGAAAAGACAGAGCAAACTCAACCATTGCACAGTCAGATGTGCATTTGCATCGTTGTTAAAGGAACAGATGACTCACAGACAATTTAGTTATTTAAAAGCTACAGTGCAAAGTAATGCCACCTTTTACCTCTCTTTTCATGCCATGCAAATGCTGAACAAACACTCCCGATGCCCTTATCTCCATCTGTTTTCAGAAACTAAATGAAATCAGCCTGGAAAATACGTAATTAACCACTGGAGGAGGACGAGTGACGACACAGGCGGCCCGCACGCGAATGCTGCTAAGTGATGCTAATTGCCAGCAGCTGCAGGGATAAAACCCCCGGCCCACCTGATCGTGGCTCTTCTTTTTCTTTTTCTTCTTGCCCCAGCAGCCGGAGCTCTCCGCATCCTTCCCGCTGGCATCGGTGCACAGAACCCCGTCCAGCTCCTCCGATCCCATCTGCTGCCCCTGAGACGTCTCTGCCGCCAACCTGTACGACAGGTTCCGCAGGATGCACACGCAGTTCTCGATGGTCTAGTAGGGGGCGTGTTTGATGCACAAAGATTGGGGGGAAAAAGTTTTCAGATTACAAAAATGGCAAACCATGGAAAAACCTACAAATGGGAGACATATCTTTTGGAATTCACAGTAACACACCTCGAGAAGTTTAACTTTATTTGACACAGTAAATATCAAAATGTCTTTTAGTATTTGCGAGGCAATCTGTCCTCTTTGGGAAGGCTGTGCAATATTGTGCTCTGAACTCTTAATAGTCTCTTGTTAGATTAGTCCTCTGGACAGACTCCAGCGGAGAGCTGGAGAACTAATCCTATTGTGATGAGCAGTGAGGCAGGAAAAACAAAGAGGACGACTTTGATCTTGTAAATGCTTTCAGAGGGATTAATGTGTGACGCTCTTTCTTTTTTCCCCTCATTCAAGCTTGTTCTCACAAAGTATTACGCCAGTAACAGAGGCCCCTTGAAAATCAAACAAAAACTCAATATAGAGAGGTGTGTCACTGCATGACTTTATCTGTGTGATTACCATAAAGCTCTCTTAAAAGCGACCGCAGCTATGAAGAGCAGTTGTTGTTTTTTTACTACATTGTTGGTGGTCAAAGCAATTAGAGGAGCATATATATATATATATATATATATATATATATATATATGAAATAATTATATATATATATGAAATATCTATCTATCTACCTATCTATATATATATATATATATACTGTATATATATAAATTAAATGAAATTTATAGAGTGAACTGCCTGTTGGCTTGCTTGTATTGTTCAAGAACATGATCCGCTTAAGTCCATGTCATACTAACACGAAACTCTGCTTCTAACTACAGGTCAAGAGCTGTAGTTCTGACCACACAACTATGAGATGTTTTGTGCAAATGTTCATTGGAACTAAATCGCTGAACTATGCTGGTAACTTTCATCCATAGTTGGCTAACAATGCTTTTGGTAAATGCACACCAGATCGAGAGTGATTTTTAGTGAAATGCGCAATATTCATCAGACTGTGAGCGAACGGACTGTGGGTGGTCCGTCTGAGACTAAGCTGGTCTAGACATGTTTTTTTCAGCAGAACTGGCTTTTTCAGCTGAGGAGATTTGTGTATTGTGTCTTCAATCTCATCTAACATTTAGCAGTGGAGAAGTGCACTAGTGCTGTATTGAAAATGGTTGGGGAGCAAAAACTGCACAACTAAACCTGCCAGAATTCTCGGTGGTGCTCCGCTGAATGCAAACACTTCAGAATAAAAGTAGAGGAGGGAAAGGTCAAACCTTGCTGTCGATCTCACTGGTGCCCAGAGCTGTCTGGATGACATAGAGCAGCGCATCAGTCAGCCCCTCACACTCTCTCATCCTGCGGCGGGCCTCTTCTCCGGCTGAGCTCACATTCCTGTAGAGAACGAATTCACACACATATTCACACACATGTTGTATTATTGACTCCATTGATTACGTTTTGCCAGTTCTGAGCCTCTAAATCAATACTCAACTAACCAAAGGGCATGTCCTCAACATCAATAAGTTTTTCATGGAAATGAGTAGTAACTCACTCCCCCCATACTCAACCAACCAAAGGGCAGATGGTCTTCAACATCAATAAGCTTTTCATGGAAATGAGTACCCCCCCCCCCCCCCCCCAAGTTCTTTTCAAACAGAGCAATGTTTGGATAGCAGTGTTTTTATACTCTTCAAGAAGTCAACTCGCAGTAGGAGAACGTTTTTTAATGTAGAAAATCCAAATATCAGCTTTATGAATCACCAGCAACATGCCCCAAAGCAACAAGCTTGGAATCCCAAGAGCTGGAGCCTCGGGAGACCTGAATCGGGAAGTCTGATCTGAGCAGGGCCTTATTCGAATGTGCCTGTGAGAAATCAAAGACCGCATCCTGTCGTCTCTCTCTCCCTCGCTCTCCAAGAAGCTTCTAAGAGATCTGTGTGTCTCGGGCAGCTGCAGGTGGTGTGGCAACTGTGTCCAGCCATTAAATATTCAATCAGACTTCTAGTTCCTCAGCTATCCATGAAGAGGATTAATTATCACGCTGGGCGTAGGGAGCTTAGTCCAGCCATCCAAGAGTGACTCAGCACTTTCTACAATCCTGCTGCTTCAAACCTAAACGCTGATGTGCAAGGAAGAGAGGATAATATGTGCATATAGCATGTGCTATAAATGTAAAGTGCTGTTAATATCAAAATGAGTTTTAAAGTCAAAAGTTTCTGGGCTCTAAAAGTATCTGCAAATTTTTTGATGGTTCCAGAGAGCTTCTAATAGTGCCAAAATTCACCAATCCATCTAGTCAGCAAAAACTAGAAACTGGAAAATATGATATTAAGATGACACAATATCAACAGCATTACAATGGAAAAGCATGTTCATGCGATCATCACTTATGCATGATGCATCAACATTCATTATAGATAAAAATGACAAAGCCACAACATACAGCATTAGACAGTCTTTTTAGACTGCACATAGTGGACTACCCAGATACATAAACATTTGACACTATGCCAAAGGTTTTCTCATGCCTGTGTTGTGCCAAATCCAACCCCATTCAAATCTTTGGACTCTAAAGAGTAGCTGTTTTTAATGCCTCATCAAAAAGTCTGTCTCATCACAGCCATATTTTGTTCTAGTGAATTAAAAGGCTTTTTTGTTGTGTAAAATATGTGGAAGTTAACCGTTTAGCATTAACATAAGCCATACGCTTAGCTTGCAATTGGAAATGTTTAGATATGCAATACATAAAAGTCATTATTTTACATTTTTATGGTTAAGACAATTTTTAGGACAAATTATATTGAAATATATCAAAATATTATACGATTATTATATAAAAATAATTGTGATAATATTTTATATACACTACTGTTCAAAAGTTTGGGGTCGACAAGATTTTAAATGTTTTTAATAACCCTTTAACACAAACATTAAAAAATCTTGTTGACCCCAAACTTTTGACATTTTTGCTCATTAGGGCTGCTTTTATTTGATAAAAAAATTGCAGTAAAAACAGTACTTTTTTTATGTTAATATAACAATTTAAAATAACTATTTTCTATTTGAATATATTTTAAAATGTAGTTTATTTATTGGATAGGAAAGCTGATTTTTTTTCAACAGCCATTACTCTTCAGTGTCACATGATCCTTCAGAAATCATTCTAATATGCTGATTTGATGCTCAAGAAACATTTCTAATTATTATCAATGTTAAAAACATTTGCGCTGCTTAATATTTTTGTAGAAAATGTGATTTTCTTTTCTTTTTTTTTTAGGATTCTTTGATGGATATTAAGTTCAAAAGAACAACAATTATTTGAAATGGAAATCTTCTGTAACAATATAAATGTATTTACTGTTACTTTTCAGTAAAGACATTAGTTTAATGCATCCTTGCCTTGGAATTAATTTCTAAACAAATCTTATATA